TATGGATGTATTGTGTAACAGTATACTTTAGCAGGCACACCAATGAAGGATGAGCCCAATATGAGTCACTAATGAATAAGATAAGGTTATCCTTTATTAGTCTCACAATGGGGGAATTCTAATGGGGTTCATTTGTATGATTGTGTAGAATCTGTGCTTCTTCAGGCTGACAAAGTGGTTATTCAGGCACTGAAGATGAACAGTGGTTGTGGTTAATTTAAGATGAATTTCTTAACACAGTCATCTTCTCACACATTGTTTTGTTCTTATACTCCAGAACAGCTTACCTTCTGGTGTTCTTGTAAAGAAACATAACACCATGATCATTCACACTGCTTTATTTGTTCATATTTTAAAACATTTACAGAGTAGAAAGAAAAATAAGTGCAATAGTAATTAGTGCTTTTAAAAAACAGTTAAGGCACTCGAGTCTTTTCATGACATGAAATGATAATTATGACATGAAATACAGTGAATAATTGAAACTGTACACTCTACAGCGGAGATCTACATTTAGCATAAAAATAAACAAACGTCACAGGTGTCAGCAGAGCTTCTAGCCAATAAGGTTTAAGCTCTGTTGTCATCAAGCCATCTCTCAGCACGCCCAGCTCGTGGGAAGCATCTGCAGCGACTTCCTCTGAAGCTGCAGTAGCCTGGCTCTCGCGAGATTATAACGCCATATGTCATCGTGATGTGCCAATGGCGCCAACGCAAGTCAGACTAAAAAGACTAACCGGGGCGCACCGCACCGAGCTGGGCGGCGATCGGTCTGCGCAGTACCCGGTTAAGTCAAACACGCCTATTGTCACACCTGCTGCCAAGCATGCTGCTGGTTGCCCTCCTCGCCTGCAGGGGTCACTCTCGCCAGAGTACTAGCCAGTTTAATCACCTGCCCGTCAGCCATATTTTTGTATATACACCGCGTTCCAAATTATTATGCAAATTATTACATTTATTAAAAATTTAAAAAAAAAACTCAAAATGCACTGTTCCAAATTATTAAGCACAACAGTTTCAAAACATTTTATAGGTTGTAAAGAAATGAAAAGCAGTATTAAGAGGTTACATTTACTGAAGTCAAAAGCTATTTCAATCAAAAACATTGCATAGCAGCCAATGACACAGAGATATTCTTTGCAGCATGAGATGGTGCTTTGTCATGCATGAAGATGATTTTGCTACGGAAAGCACGGTTCTTCTTTTTGTACCATGGAAGAAAGTGGTCAATCAGAAACTTTATATACTTTGCTGAGGTCATTTTCACACCTTCAGGGACCCTAAAGGGGCCTACCAGCTCTCTTCCCATGATCCAGGCCCAAAACATGACTCCGCCACCTCCTTGCTGACATCGCAGCCTTGTTGAGACATGGTGGCCATCCACCAACCATCCACTACCTCATCCATTTGGACCATCCAGGGTTGCACGGCACTCATCAGTAAACAAGACTGTTTGAAAATTAGTCTTCATGTATGTCTGGGCCCACTGCAACCGTTCCTGCTTGTGAGCACTGGTTGGGGTGGCCAAATAGTAGGTTTATGCACAACTGCAAGCCTCTGGAGGATCCTACACCTTGAGGTTCGTGGGACTCCAGAGGCACCAGCAGCTTCAAATACCTGTTTGCTGCTTTGTATGATGTATGATGAATTTGTCTGGCAGAAACCTTCCTCATTAAGCCTTTATCTGCACAAACCGTCTGTGCTCTGATTCAGCCACAAATCTCTTCACTAAAACTGTGTCTCTTTTAATAGCGGTGAACACTACAGTACACTGTGATCCAAAAATACATATTTTTATACCTGCTTTAATCTCATTTCTGTAGTTTTGTGCTTTGTTTTATGAGACTAAAGTAAACACAAGCATTACTGAACCGAGTGCCTCAGGCCTGTTTCACACACCCTACATACACTCCCTCTGTGTGTGATTATTACAGCTCAGACACGCTGAACTCTCAGCTCACTACAGCTCAGACACACTGACCACTCAGCTCACTCCAGCTCACACACGCTGACCATTCACTCATGCAGCATTTTAGCTGTGAAAGTTCAGTGGACTATTAAAGTAAACTCATATAGCCATTTTGCTCAGTAAACTATGGCCAGGTTCTACACACATCCATCCATTCCAACTGGATAAACAGTAAATCAGTTACTTCATTTAATAAAACAGATTAGAAAGTACTGTACTTATTTTTCCTTGGCACTGTAATTAGTTGAGATTGGGAATTTGCTTCAAGATATTTTGTAGATTTGCCAGAAAATGTGTATTTAGCATGAAGTAGGATTTGATAGGAGGACAACAGAATTTGTTTCAATGATTTTATTTTTTCATTGTTCTTTGTAGTTGTTTCACTGTGTCGTTGCTTTGCTGGTGTGCTTGTCTTAATTTAAGATAACAGACTCTGAAGCTTATTATTGATGTAATGTGGGTTAAATGCTGTATTATGTCGTATTAGGGTTAAAATGACCTTATGCTGATTTTATGTGCACTTTCTGAGCAGCCTTTCCCACATTTTGGTAGGATTTTGAATATTTTTTGGCTGAACACTACAGAGGCAACCTGGCAACCCTGAGGACAATATTGTGGACAACTATGGAAATACATTTGTTTTGTTTTCCTTTCATTTTCTTTTTATTAAGCAGTGCTTAATCGACAAGCAAAACACAGTTTATGCCCACCTTGTTCTTTTAAACTCTTTGAGTTCACCCGAGGCATATTCAGCTTAAAAGAGAATTCAGTGTGTGAGGTGTGATCAGAGAGATTCAGAGCAGTTTGGTGTGAAATGGTTCAGATGTCTTTACAGTGGTGGTGATAGGAACCAGGGGTCGCCATGACTACAACACATTTTATTTACTATCAAAATCACCAGCGAACCTAAACGAGTCTTCTGAGTTTATATGAATGTTGATGATGGAAAATAGTGGAAAATCTGAAATAATAAGTTTTCTTTGGGGACTATTTTGCTTCACAACATCATACATGTAATTTTCTACCACAAACGGATTAAAATTAATTATTTAAAATCCATTTAAATCCAAAACTTTATCACAGAACTGTCATAAGCAATGTCTCAGACATCATCATGCCCATTCATAACTATGAAATGGTTATGACTAACTTTCCATGAGGGAGCTTTTAGAGGTGGACGTCTGGTTCCTATCACCACCACTGTGAACAATTCTGACTCGGTAAGTTTCTCTAGAACAGAGCATTTCACACCAAACCACTCTGAACGACATCTGTTTACATCTGCCCTACTAAATTTTGTAGAAAAATCGGTGGAGTTCCCCTTTAACTGAAAATGCTCGTGAACCAACGGATTTAAGGGATTTAATGGTCAACAGCAGCTCTTCTACACTCATATCAGTTTTATTACTCAAAAAAACAAGTGGTTTATTAATAAGCTTCACTATAAACACTCATAATCTGGACCTCCACACAGTGATGGTCTAATCCAGCACCAGTTTCCACAGTCCGAGTTTTGTTTAATGTTTAGCGCTGAACTGAGCGAGTAGCTAACATTAACTTTCTAACATCATTTGTGGAGAGGAGAGACGTTAACGTTCACTAACTCACCTTAAACCTCAACAAATTATTATTACTATTACTATTATTATCCATCCATCCATCATCTAAACCGCTTATCCTTCTGGGTCGCGGTGGGGTTATTATTATTATTATTATTATTATTATTTAGCAACCTGCCCTTTATAACTATAGTTAGCGTTAGCTAATGCTAGCGCTCTTCGTTAGCCACCGTTCTTCACACCAACTCGGCGCTGCGTTTAGCATTCAGAGCTAAGCTAACGTTTCCTAACAGTAAAGAAAATATCGTCTGTTAACTGTGTTTTTCCTGACTGAAGAGTCATTATAACCTGTGGAGAGTTTATTTAGTTATATAGAGTCTAAAATATGTAACTCAGCCCCTTTAATCTTTCTACACGAAGCTGAAATTAGCTTCTTCTCCGAATTCCACGGTCCAGCTTAAATAGTGCAGGGAGTTCCGTTCTGATGCTGGCGGGCAGCCTCGGCGCCTGAATGGAACTGCTGCTCCATTTAAGGTGGACCGGAAAATTAAAATCAGAAGCCGGTGAATCTGATTTTTCAGCTTCAGCCTCGTCCTTTACACTGAGAGAGCTTTATGTTCAGACTCTCAGCTCAAAAGGAAAGAGGGTAAAATGAACATCCCGTCATAAAGATGAGTAAAATAGCGCTGACCTACCGCAGGGCTGCTCAGCTGGTGGTCCAGGGCTGTTCAGCTGGTGGTCCAGCACCGACAGGCTGAAGCTCCGTGTTGGTATCTTCCATGAACCGGTTCCGTCCAGATGGTTAATGTGCTCTTCAGGGATCTTTCAGCGTCTGATTCAGCGTCTGATTCCGAGTCTAACATTACAGAACATGCAGGTTCGTTTACATCCTCACTGCAGCTCTGCTGTCTGAGATCAGACTCAGAGTCTGAGGCTGAAAATGCACAGGGAGCTCCTCACCGTCCAGACATCACTTTCCAACACCATTACATCTGACCAGGGGCTGCTCAGTTATTAAAGATGGCTTGGAGATGCTTGAAGTCACCAGCTTTACCTGAACAGGGCGATTTGTGGGTTTTATCTGTCACTTATTTTGTCTTAAAATATTAATTTATTACGTTGAAATAATAACACACTATATCCAAATACTGCTAAATTACATGCTAAACAATGAGCTACACTCAGCTGAAGTCTACATTTTGGAATAGGAGTCATTTTTATATTAGAAATAATTATTTCCACATGAATCAAAATGTCAATAAAAAAGTCAGCTGTTTATAAGAGCATGTTTCACTTTTCCATCGGACACTCAGGACTCAGATACTGGATCACATATCGGCTTAAATACAGCACTTTAATTAAAACGTTTATTTTAGGAAGGAAGAACCCGCCCCGCTGTGCGTCACTGAAGTTCCTGAAGCCACTATAACAGAAAGTAAAAGGATAAACTCTCAGTGAATCTCAGACTACAGACTGCTACAGGGTGAGTGATCTACAGACAGCACTGACACTCAGCACTAGTGTTGAATTTAAAGCAGGTAAACTCTGTTTATCAGGTAAATACACAGCGCTTTGTTTACTGCAGATCCTGATCTCGTCCGTTATGAGCAACAACAACACCCTTTATTGTTATTATAATAATGAGGATTTATTAATAAATATGTCCTCTAACATGTCCTCGATGAAGACCTCTGAGCATAAAGATCTGAGCAGTAACGCATTCCTGCAGATAACGTCGCGTTCCGTTAGTCCTGCTTTGTGGATTCAGATGACGTCACCACCCACGCCCAAATCTGACAATATTGCACGTCAGTGATTTATTTTCTTAAGCTCATAACTTCAGAAGTTGAGCACTGAGATAAATGAAAGCAGGTTTAGACTGTCCAGCTGATTAGTGTAAAATCTCACAGTGCTGACTGTGTCCGTCAGTGGACTGTGTTAAAGGCTCACAGTGCTGACTGTGTCCGTCAGTGGACTGTGTTATAAAATCTCACAGTGCTGACTGTGTCTGTCAGTGGACTGTGTTAAAGTCTCACAGTGCTGACTGTGTCTGTCAGTGGACTGTGTAGACCGCCAGTAAGGAAAGTGAAAGTAGGTGAACTATAAGCCCTGTTTTTACCTTGATAGTTATTTTCAATACAAATGACATCAAAACGTATAAGAAATGTTTGATTCAGCAGAGCTGGGTTGGTGAAAGTTTCCACAGACAGATCTTGGTATGTGTGATTGCTCCATACAGCAGCTCTACACAGCTGAACTCAGACATTTCATTAAACTGCATAGAGCTTATAAAGCTGACACAGAGGCTCAAATCAGCCAGAGTGATTAAGTCAGTCCTGTTTTATCTGTCAGTCATTCACGGGTCAGTCTCAGCATCATAAAGAGAAAAACAGAGCCTGTCTGACTTGGAGTTTCTCTGGACTCTGGAGTTTCATTTCATTTACAAACACCATCAACAACCATGCAGATTCCCTTGTTTTAGGTATTACCTGATCTGTGATTTGTGAAGCAGGATGAAACTGCTGTACATTTAAGGTGGAGCGGAAAATTAGGATAAGAAGCTGGGAAATAAGAAGCAGATCTTAGTACTGTGGTGAGGTGTGGAGTGATATTACCATTACTGACAAATAAACCTAACGTTTTACCTTTAAAACATGCAGTTTTCCAGATAAAATGTCTGAGGTGAAGTAAATTAAGCTGTGATTGGGCTAGTGACATTAGCTTAGCTACCAGACGATTAGCATTTACCTGTCCGTTACTCTAAAAGACCTCTTAAGTGTAATTGTCAGATTTGTGTAATCAAATATGAATTTTGTAGGGGGTTAAAATTGTACAGTCACTACAGCAATAGTGTCAGGATTAGCTAAAACCTACAAGTACAAGCTCACTACAGGAAAATAATTGTGATCCATTCAAATGTCAGGTAATTATGTGAAAACAGTGACAGGCATACTGTACACATACAGAAACCCATTAACACAAATCAGTCATAATTTATATGTGCTTTATCTGACTTTTAGTAGTCTTTCCAGGTATAACTCATAACTTGTATTCTGTGTTTGTGTTCTTTACTTTTATATTCTCAGGTTTCATGAAAAAGAACGCTCACCTAAAATTGTAAGAAGTGTGGAGTTAAACTGGACTTTCTGGTGTGTCTTACTGCAGTTCTCTTTAATTTCACTTTGTAAGTGATGGCAAATACAAATGCATTATAAATGGTACACAAATGTACACAAACAGTCAGAAAGATACTAAAAATTTGTGAAAAGTTGGAATGAGAACCGACTGTGCAGGGTGACTGGGATTGGCTCCAGCAGCCCCCACAACCCAGTAGGATACAGCTTAGATAAATATTAATGTATGAATGGATGAATAAACACATGGTAAGAAGGATTACTTAATAAGACATAATAACACAGGTAGTACAGATAGTTCTGAATGCTGCTTGTGCTGAAGAACAGGTGATGTTCAGGCCACTGGATGTCTTTTCATCATTTATTGATCTTTTTTTAAATTATTTTTTATCCTGGTCAGTGCTTATGGTGTTTGTGTCTGTAGGTCAGTTCCGTTCTCTCGTTCTCTCTGCTCTCTATCCTCTCCTGGTCAGTGCTGATGGTGTGTGTGTGTCTGTAGGTCAGTTCTGTTCTCTCTTTCTCTCTTCTCTCTATCCTCTCCTGGTCAGTGCTGATGCTGTGCGTCTGTAGGTCAGTACTGTTCTCTCTTTCTCTCTTCTCTCTTTCCTCTCCTGGTCAGTACTGATGGTGTGTGTATGTGTCTGTAGGTCAGTTCTGTTCTCTCTCTCTCTCTCTTCTCTCTCTCCTCTCCTGGTCAGTACTGATGGGGTGTGTGTCTGCAGGTCAGTTTTGTTCTCTCGTTCTCTCTTCTCTCTCTCCTCTCCTGGTCAGTTCTGTTCTCTCTTTCTCTCTTCTCTCTCTCCTTTCCTGGTCAGTACTGATGGTGTGTGTGTGTCTGCAGGTCAGTTCTGTTCTCTCTTTCTCTCTTCTTTCTCTCCTCCCCTGGTCAGTACTGATGGTGTGTGTGTCTGTAGGTCAGTCATGCAGTCCTGCAGTTCTGCTGTCTGTATCCTGATCTTACTGATCACTACATTCACGGATGGTAAGTACTGCACTGTTCCTACTCCTGACAGTCTGTTGGTCAAGTTCTAAAGTTTTTCACCTAAACTGCAATCAGTTTGCTGGATTTGTTAAAAAATGAGTCGTATGAAACAGGGGCAGTTCTAGGATAAGAGCTGTAGGGGAGCAACCAATGAGAGCAGCCCCCCCGTCCCATCTCATCGTATCTTCTGTCATTCTGTAACATTAATTAGCTGACACGCATACAGACAGTACTAGTCCAGCACCTTGGCTTTAATATCAACACAACAATATCAGCACAACAGCTCGCCTCTCTCACTGAATTCAAACAGTGGATGGTAGTTGATTGACAACCTGCAAGAATAGCTTCCCAGATAAAAACACACCAGACAGCTAACAAGAACAACATAATTAGTGATCTATGATTCAGTGCAGCAGAAATGAAGACTGCTGATAATGACTGTAATGTGTTGGTGCTGAGTGATAAATCCTCGTCTGCGCTACTTACTGAAGCCGCCAGACCACACAGTCACACCGTAACTGAATTTAAAAAATAAATAAATAAATAAACTTTTTACACTTATTTATGGGTGAAAAGGAGCTAGACACTCCTCAGGCACAAAATATTATTTCCTCGCTTCCTGTGGTCTGTGTGGGACTGATGACTCAGGTTACCCTAGACTCTCATTTGAGGTCAACGTAATAACATATTAATTATATTGCTTCTTTTCTCTACACTAGCGCTGACAGACAAGATGACAACTGATAGTGGAGTTTACACAAGCTGGGGCACCACAAATTATAACACTGAAGTCTACCCAGTGAGCACCGAAGGTGTGAATTCACTGTGATTTCTGTGTTCACAATCATATTTCGGTCACACTGAACAGAGTGTGTAGAGTCCATCAGCTGGTCATTTAATGAATGAAATAAAGTATAATCAGGTAGAATCTGGTTTCCCTTCACATTCACGAATCCAACATAAACTAGTCCTGAAGCATAAAAGAATGCTAATTAAAATGTTCATGTTATTACTTTACTCTTGTGCTATGCATTCAGCAACACACATGCTGACACATGGTTAACTAGACATCACATGATCTTTTCTTTTACTATTCGAAACAAAATGAGTGTTAACTTACACTATTAGGGCTTATATAACATGAATAGAGCGTAGCCTTACCTTCTAAAACGGCTGCTATGTAGCTACAGCACAATTAACTATTCAGTTAGCTAGCATGTGTATACGGGTTTAAAAAAATGTACAATTGCTCTAGAGCAGGGTTTCTCAACCTGTGGGCCGCGGACCATCAGTGGGCTGTGAAGCACCTTCTAGTGGTCCGCGGGCCTGTACTCAGGGGGAGACAGTCGTTCGTAGTGGGCCAGTAGAGATTTGTAAATAAAATATCGCAGTCACAGGCTGATTAAACGCCATCAGTTTGAGATGCGAGCCGCGGGCACGCAGTGCAGAGTTAGCTAGAGACTGATAGGTTCCTCAGGGTGTTTCTCCTACCTTGTTTGGTGCGGACCTATCAAAGTTTTTTCGGTAACACTTGCTATAAATGTCGCATTTGTAAGCATCTATAAACACATTTATAACATGTTATAATGTATTCATAAGGCATTATAAATGTGGTTATAAATATTTATAAAAATGAATTACACTGAATTACACTTTATAGCCATGTTTATAATACATTATGAATTGTTAATATGATGCATTATAAATAGTGTTAATAACATGTTATAATGTCCGTGCCAAAGAAGTCAGTCCCAGCTTGGAGAGCGTAAAGTAAAAACAAATACCAATCTAACGGTGGTGTACATTACCTTTCCCACATTGGGTAAAACACTGATGGCAGCCCTAGTTTAAAATCTGACATTTGAAGCCTGTAATGTGCTTCATTGTGTATGTTTTAGTGTTTCAGTAAATCCTTCAGGTCTCGGTCCACTCCCAACCGAACCCCGTTGAGTTCACTGCTATTGGGATGCATTTTATGATCAAACGAGGGAATTCATCAGTAGAGCCTACTTCCTCTTCTTCTAGCAGCACATCAGTGCTGTACCGTCAGTATAATCTGCCTGTTTGAATCTCTGACTCTTTACAGACTCTCATTGCTCTCATGTCGTTCCTGCAGCTTGAGCTGCTGTTAAAAACGACAGACGAGCCTTAAAATAATAGCGAAGATCTGCGTTTGATTTCTAGCCGACCATCAGCGACCTGAGTTAAACTCAAACTGATAAACTGTAGACAAAGAAGCAGAGATCATTTAAGAATCATTACTGTTATTGTTGATTGTGGCGACGCTGATTCAAAAGCGTGAGTGGTGTAATTCCTTCGTAGCGCAGGCAGACAAAAGTGGTTCTCTTGCTACTGGTTTATTTGAAGGCTTTTCTCTGAATCCACTGTGAAAACTAAACACAGTATTGACCTGAAAATTTAGACCAGGTTAGCTTAACATAAACAATAGCATGCACAGCATGTGGAATAAACATTTTACTAAAGTAAAATAGGGACGAACAAACAAACAAATACTTCGATGGCTGCATGCTACAAAAAGGGAATAGGCCTTGAGTCTTCAGAGGTTCCCTTTTAACTGTTCACATCACCTTAAAGTCCACTGTGACTATAAACTTTCACCGGAGCTTATAAGAAGTCATGCTTGCTGCTAACTTGGAGGTATTGCTAAAGAGTCTTACTAAGCGAGAGCTGCACAGCAAGGCTTTAATGTAACTTTGAGCTTAGACTTCAAAATAATAGTAGCATTACTTGTGCTAAATGAAATAATGTATAATAATGAAACTTAGATGAATTCTGAATTATGATACTGCTCTTAGAAAGGGTCAACAGATGATATAAATTATATAAACAATAATTGCAACAGTTACAAGTGGAGGTTTATTTCAAATGAGGCGCTAAAACCCTCAAAACTGAACTATTACTCTCATTTGAGATCAGAGTAATAACAAAATAAGTACATTGCTTGTTTCCTCTACAATAGAGCTGATAGACACGATGCAGTCTGGTAGTGGAGAATATCCGACCGAAGAAGACGACTCAGGTAAGAATTTGCAATTTCTGATTTCTGTGATCTGTGATTTCTTTATTCCTGAAAGTGTTTCTTTAAGAGTCTAGTGGTTTATGGGAGTGTTTGTTTTAATACTGATCATCGTCTTCATCTCAAGTGAAATTAATTAAGGAGAAGAGTGTTGTGTGATATTAATATTAAACTTCATAGCTCCAGTCAGAAATCAGTGTTTAGGAAACTGCTAACTGTGTCTTTAAGTAGATTTTAGGTGATGCTATTCTGAGTTCTAGATCCTCTGTGTAGTTTATCTTCTCCGTGATAGAACCGTCCTCCATCACAGCAGATCTTCACCTGCACAGCTCCTTTAGATTACTGTGACAGTCCAGTGTTTAATGACTGTAGGCCGGTCACAGTCACTACATGATGGTGATTATTTGATTATGTGGTCATTTTGCTCCATCCTTAGATTCACAATCATATTTCAGTCACACTGAACAGAGTGTGTATGAGTCCATCAGCTGGTCAGAGTCTCTTTTAGATATAGAGGTCAATTGTGTCTCTTTTAGATATAGAGGTTAATTGTGTATCTTTTAGATGTAGACGTTGTGTCTCTTTTAGTTATAGACGTTGTGTGTCTTTTAGATATAGAGGTTAACTGTGTCTCTTTTAGATATAGAGGTTAATTGTGTATCTTTTAGATATAGAGGTTAATTGTGTATCTTTTAGATATAGAGGTTAATTGTGTCTCTTTTAGATATAGAGGTTAATTGTGTCTTTTAGATATAGAGGTTAATTGTCTCTTTTAGATATAGAGGTTAATTGTGTATCTTTTAGATATAGAGGTTAATTGTGTCTCTTTTAGATATAGAGGTTAAATGTGTGTCTTTTAGATATAGAGGTTAACTGTGTCTCTTTTAGATATAGAGGTTAATTGTGTATCTTTTAGATATAGAGGTTAATTGTGAATCTTTTAGATGTAGACGTTGTGTCTCTTTTAGTTATAGACGTTTGTGTGTCTTTTAGATATAGAGGTTAATTGTGTCTCTGAGTTTAATTGTGTGTCTTTTAAATATAGAGGTTGTGTCTCTTTTAGATATAGATGTAAATTATGTTTCTTTTACATATAGAGGTTATGATTAAATGCTTGAAATTTGAGTCTAAATAATAAAGATGTTGTATGCATTCATATCCAACACAAGTTATTTTTTGTAAATCCGTTCTCCATCAGGTGTTTTCATTTAGCCAACAATTACTTAGCATCTTCAGTATAATGAGCTTTGTCAGTTCTGTTAGAACATCATTTGAGGTGGTTGAGGTGGTGTGTGTAGCACACCATGAAGACAAGTGGAGGTGGGGTCAAAGGTTACAGAGGAATATAGAATAGAAGAGAGTTTGGACTCTTTTAACTTTTTCTTTTAGTCTTTTTCGTCACTGTAAAATTTAGGTCATATTTGCAATTAAATAAGTTTCTGTTCAATTTTCTCCTCAGACTTGCTTTCTACAGTTGTAATTAAGACTGGTAAATCTATTGTGCTGGATTTGGATGCATCATATCCAGTGGAGGTGATCTATAGCAGTAGAAGTGCAGCTGGACCATCCTGGTATCCGATCTGTACAGTGAATGGATGCTCACTACAGTGTAAACCTGAATACACTCAGAGAGTGTCACTACTAACATCTGCTATTGTACTGAGAGAAGTGAAGCCGTCTGATAGTGGAGTTTACATCATCTGGGACACCGAGCATAACAATATTATTCACATCTACACAGTGACCGTACAAGGTATGAATTTTTTTAATTTCAAAAAGTATTTCTTTAAGAATCTGGTTGGTTATGGGAGTGTTTGTTTTAGTTGTTTAGAGAAGAGTGTTGTGTGATATTAATATAAAACTTCATAGCTCCAGTCAGAAATCAGTGTTTAGGAAACTGCTAACTGTGTCATTTCACTGGCCCTACCCCTGCTCCGCAGTGGGGCCCCCAGGATCAAACATAAGATCTATTAAAGTGGCCTTGTCCTCACAGTCTGTCATCTGCGCTGGAGGTTCAGGTTCCGCCTTCCTGCCGGCTCTCTCGGCCATCATTGCAGCCCAGGGTCTGGGCACCTGGCAAAATCCTGAATCATCAAAAAAATGTTTAATAAAAACAATTACAAATAAAAAAGAAAAAGTTTTTTTACATCTTAAACCCAGTGTGTAATTTCTGTGCAGACAGTGTTTATGTAGAGCAATCTGACCAACGAGGTGGCTTGTTGTAATATTTGCTACATTTATATTTTTATTTCATTACATGTTTATCACTTCATCAGCATCAAAAACTCAAGCAAATCTGTAAATCCTTTATAGTGGCATTGTGGAAGTCAGTAGACGTTTCTGATGAAGCAGTTGCTTTCATCTCCCGAAAATACGGTGCTGTTGTTTACTGTAGTCAGTTTTCTGTTCAGGATATGCATCAAAAACAAAGTGCATAGATGATGTGACTTCCTTCAAGACCATCACAACACACACTGACCAAAAGCTGTGGGTAACTGCAGAGGTGTGTGCCCTGCTGGAAATCTGAAATGCCACCTTTACGTCAAGACGACGTTGCTCTTAACACAGCAAGAGTGCAACTATACACAGAGAATCCACAGACACTTTTTAGACACCAGAGATACATGACATATGTGGCAAGGCATTCAGGCTAACACTGACTGCAAAATGACATCACATGCCTGTGATGGTAATGTCTCACTTCCAGACACTCTGAGCAATTTCTACGTGCAGGTTGAAGCACGAAACAACCAGCCTGCAAGGAAGACCACCTCTGCTCAAACTGACCAAATATTTAGTCTCTCCACAGTAGCCTCATATTCTGACTCAGTTGCAGACATTAACCCTAGCTCTGCAGACTGGTCCTGTAGTAGCTGCTCCTGCTGCTTCTCCTAGAAGTCAATTGTGTCTCTTTTAGATATAGAGATTGTGTCTCTTTTAGTTATAGAGGTCAATTGTGTCTCTTTTAGATATAGAGGTTAATTGTACATGTTTTAGATATAGAGGTTAATTGTGTCTCTTTTAGATATAGAGGTTAATTGTACATGTTTTAGATATAGAGGTTAATTGGGTCTCTTTTAGATATAGAGGTTAATTGTACATGTTTTAGATATAGAGGTTAATTGGGTCTCTTTTAGATATAGAGGTTAATTGGGTCTCTTTTAGATATAGAGGTTAATTGTACATGTTTTAGATATAGAGGTTAATTGGGTCTCTTTTAGATATAGAGGTTTATTGTATATGTTTTAGATATAGAGGTTAATTGTGTCTCTTTTAGATATAGAGGTTTATTGTATATGTTTTAGATATAGAGGTTAATTGTGTCTCTTTTAGATATAGAGGTTTATTGTATATGTTTTAGATATGAAGATTAATTTTGTCTCTTTTAGATATAGAGAATAATGGTGTATCTTTTAGATTTAGAGGTTAATTGTGTCTCTTTTAGATATAGAAATTTATTATGTATATTTTAGATATAGAGGTTTTCTGTGTTTTTTTCAGATATAGAAGTTTTCTGTGTTTTTTCAGATATAGAGGTTTTCTGTGTTTTTCAGATATATAGGTTTTCTGTGTTTTTCAGATATAGAGGTTTTCTGTGTTTTTTCAGATATAGAGGTTTTCTGTGTTTTTCAGATATAGAGGTTTTCTGTGTTTTTTCAGATATAGAAGTTTTCTGTGTTTTTCAGATATAGAGGTTTTCTGTGTTTTTTTCAGATATAGAAGTTTTCTGTGTTTTTTCAGATATATAGGTTTTCTGTGTTTTTCAGATATATAGGTTTTCTGTGTTTTTCAGATATAGAGGTTTTCTGTGTTTTTTTCAGATATAGAGGTTTTCTGTGTTTTTTCAGATATAGAGGTTTTCTGTGTTTTTTTCAGATATAGAGGTTTTCTGTGTTTTTTCAGATATAGAAGTTTTCTGTGTTTTTCAGATATAGAGGTTTTCTGTGTTTTTCAGATATAGAGGTTTTCTGTGTTTTTTTCAGATATAGAGGTTTTCTGTGTTTTTCAGATATAGAGGTTTTCTGTGTTTTTTTCAGATATAGAAGTTTTCTGTGTTTTTCAGATATAGAGGCTGTAAGTAAAGCTAACAGAATTAAACAGTAGGTGTGAAAAGTAGATGTGTTAAGGTTGAGAAGGTCGTGTTCAAACAGAAACAGTCTGTGGGATTTTACTTATTCGTCTGTGAACTGTGTAGTGATGGTGGTCTAAATGCTAACATAGCTAGCTACATTCTTCAGTCGTTTACAGTCAGCTCTCCAGATGCTGCACAGCGTGTAAACTAGTGGTGTAGACTGAAATATGTTTTGGTCTAGATCTTCACTCCTGCAGAGAACTATAAAATAACGTTATTAATTACTAAAAGAGATTTCACATTAACATTAATGATTAATAATTTTCAGTTTTGTTTTTGTTCCTACCAAAATACCATTTATTTCCAATTTCTGTTTTTATTTTCTGAATGAAGCCTGATTTGTATGTTTCTGCTTTATGTCTGTGTGACATAAATCTGTATCTGCAGTTCAGTGATGATCATACATGTGTTTGAATGATGTTTGTTTGATGTATTGTATTAGTGTCAGAGTAGTTCTGTCGTCACATACTGGAAATAATACATGAGCCGTATTAAAGGAATTCTCTAGATCTACACTTCAGCAGTTTAAAGTTTGAATTCATGTTTCTTCATCATCTGAATGATATCTTAATATGATGGCTTATTCCCAAATGCTTGAAATTTGTTCCTTAAAAAAAAAAATAAACAATGAAGTGTACATGAAGTGGTTGGTGCGGTGTAGTGGGTAACACCTCTGCCTTCTATGCTGTAGACTGGGGTTCAATCCCCAATCGGGGAAACACCCTACACTATACCAATAAGAGTCCTTGGGCAAGACTCCTAACACTACCTTCGCCTACCTGTGTAAAAGGATCACACTGTAAGTCACTCTGGATAAGAGCGTCTGCCAAATGCCATAAATGTAAATACATATGAATTCATTTCCAGGAGGAATGTTAATATTTTGTAAATACCTCCTCTATCAAGTGTTTTGTTTTTTTTTTTAACCAACAAGTGTTTAGCATAGTGAACATAAGGAGCTTCTTCAGTCCTGCTTTTTTTAGGTAAAAAGGCTGTAAGTAAAGCTAATAGAATTAAATAGTAGGTGTGAAAAGTAGATGTACATCTCAGGTGGTTCCTCATGAAGCAGCTTGACAGATCAGCCATAATGTGTAAAGCAGCACCAGGTCATGGGGGGCTGGTCAGGGAATACTGAAAAATGTAGAATCAACGATAGTTTGGATTTGTTGAACACTTCTTTGGTCTCTTTAAATATATATATATATATATATATATATATATATATATATATATATATATCAGATTTGCAGTTCATTGATTAAGTTTCTGATTGGTTTTCTTCTCAGGTTTGAGTTCTACAGTTCAGATAAAGGCTGGTGAATCTCTGGTGATGAAGTTGGACGTATCAGATCCAGTGGAGGTGATTTATAACAGAACAGGTGGTCAGATCTGTACAGTAGATAGAGGCTCACTGAGCTGCACAGCTGAATACATGCACAGAGTGTCACTTCTAACATCTGATCTTGAGCTGAGAGAAATGAAGCCGTCTGATAGTGGAGTTTACATCATCCGGGACACTAAAACTAAAGAGGATATTGACGTCTATACAGTGACCGTCCGAGGTATGAATTCATTCAGATTTCTGTCTTCTTTTCTAGAGGAAAAGTATCTAGTTGACCGCAGGACTGATAGAGTGTTGTGTGCTGTTTACTAATATAAATTAATAGTGGTAGGTGTGAACAGTCAGTAGTTGTGTTTGTACTGATAGTATCTTGTATTTACACAGAAACAGTCTGTGATTTTACTGTCTGTAAATCAGTGAGCTGCTCCAGAGCAGAGCTCTCAGACAGCCCATAATTATTTACCAGAGGTTATAAGAAGAAACGTTCCTGTCTGTCTGTGTAAGTCATACTTTACTGTAATGAGGTTTATGTGGAGAAATCGTTTAGTTCAGCTCAGTTCAGCTGGTTCATCTGTGAACTGTGTAGTGATGGTGGTCTAAAGAGTTGGAGATGCTAATATAGCTAGCTACCTCCTTCAGTCATTTACAGTCAGCTCTACCGAGGCTGCACAGCGTGTGATCCAGTGGTGTAGACAGAAATACAGTTTGGTCTGGATTTTGACTTCATGCCAGCAGAGAACTCTAAATAATGTTATTAACTGCTAACAGAGATTCCACTTTAATGGTAACAATGATTATGTTTCAGTTTCTTTGTTGTTCCTACAGATATACTGTGTATTTCCAGTTTCTGTTTTCATTCCCTGAACCAGTTTAAGTCTGAATTTTGTTTTCATCAACCTCTCTATTTAGAAAATGCACATAAACTATAAAATACTTGGATAGAAACCTGACTGTGTGTTTCTGCTTTGTTACTTTGACATAAATCTGTATCTATAGTTCAGTGATGATCATGTATCTGTTTGAACTGTTTAAAGTTTAGACACACCTGACTGAATTTATGTTTCTTCATCATCTTGAAGACGTTTTGACACAGAGGCTTATATGCTTAACATTTGTTTGAAAGACAGATATAAATGATGACTTTGATGTATGAATTCATTTTCAAAACCAAATTTGCATATGGACAGTAGAGACATGTCCCTCCCAATATTTGAGTGAACTTGGTCAAATTATTTTTGAAGTCATATTAGATCATTCCCATGTGCCCTCCCAGAGCCTACGTCCCCAAGACCCCCACTTTACGCATGCTAGTGATTGACTGGCTGAAAGTCAGGTGGCTACCTGAAGGCTATCAGTCCATACTTCAAATGTGTGTGATAAATTCAGTCTTTCAGATGAATTACTTCCTTTCCTGAGTATGAGCCTCTGACTCAAGCTGCTGAAGATTTAACATAGTGCCAGAAAATGATTAGCAGCGAGCGGCAGAGGCGCCAGACATGACCGCTAGCTTCTAATTATCTGTTCAGCAGGTCCATATTCGATATAACCCGAGTCCTGATTTCTTAGATACATTGAATTCCGATGAATAAAGTTTATTTCTTTAAACATTTTTCATTCAGTTTGACATCAAGGTATGAAAAACATTCTGATACATAGCTTTTTGCAAGCTGCCTGTTTGATTCCAAGCACAGAAGTATAACAGGGAGACTGTATTGTACCATACAGATTATTCACAGATGTGACAATTATGGTCGTACACTGCCTCATCGGTCATTCAGGGTTTGCTGCAGTGGCCCTAAAGCCTTACATTCTGCAAGCTGTCCTTGGCACTTATCAGCAGCTATAAGGAGACTTGATGGCAAGAATCCTTACTTAATCGGTCCGTCAGGTTACCTAATCATACGTTGAACGTTATCGATATAAGGCTAGTTAGGTCTAAAAAAGGCTGAAATATCTACAAATACAGTAAGACAAGGCGATATGTATGGAAAGACATACAAAGTGGCGCTGATGTTCTCCCTCCCTCTAGGCTCGCATGGTTTTATATTTATGAGCGCAGCATGCAGAACCATCTCTCCACGTGGCCCTGGGCACGAGTAGGGCGTCATCATGGGGCAGAAGTGTTTGCATACTATGCCGTATCATCGTACTTTGGCATGAAGACACGTCATCCACGCCTATAGCAGAGTTGAACCAGAGGGGCGCTGCAGAGGTGTAACTGACCACGATAAAAATGATATTTTTACAGTTGGAAAAGATGTGTTTACATTTCAAGCAATGCTTACATTTCAGCTACTGATGAACAAAAAAGGTGTAGCTACTCTTTAATGCCGGTGTTTGGTTAAATCACTATGTTACAAACCTGTGTGTGTTTGTTTTGTAGGTAACCATACAGATCTGGACACAGTGTGGGTGATGGTACTGGTTGCTGTACTTGTAGCTGTGATATTTCTGGCAATAACAGTGGTGATTTTGCAGAACAGGAGACAAAATCAGCCACTCCAGAAGGAAGATGAAACAAACAGAGTTCAAATGAATGAACTCATTTACGTCAGTCCAGAAGAGAGACAGTCACACCAGGATCTCTGAGAGATGATCACTAATCGATCTCTGTCTGTGCTCTCTTTGTGTGGGAGTGGTTGGTTGAGTGTATCAGTGTGGAGAGTCCAGCTCTGTCTGATCTTCATTTACAGAGCCTTTAATGTATTCTGTCTGTTTTCACTGTAATACTCACAACTGAGGTTTATTAATTAATGTACTTTACTGTGTGAACATATTTTTATTGCTACTAATGAATTTAGCAAGATTAGTTCAGATTCCTGTGAACTGTCTACCTATAGAACACTATTAGAGAAGTTCTGAACCCACACACCAAACTATCAGACAGCAATGATATAAAAATATAAACAGAGTTTCTTTGTGCTCGTGCGCCAGTGCTTCAGATTATATGGGAGATTCAGCTGCTTTACTGACTCCTTCAGCAGTGTGTTCATCAGTTATTAGTTATGATCTGTCTGATTATTAGAGTCTGATCTGAGAGGTATGTTACTCTGCTTTACTGACTCCTTCAGCAGTGTGTTTATCAGTTATTAGTTATGATCTGTGTCTGATTATTAGAGTCTGATCTGAGAGTTATTTTACTCTGCTTTACTGACTCCTTCAGCAGTGTGTTTATCAGTTATTAGTTATGATCTGTGTGTGATTATTAGAGTCTGATCTGAGAGGTATTTTACTCTGCTTTACTGACTCCCTCAGCGGTGTGTTTTTCAGTTATTAGTTATGATCTGTGTGTGATTATTAGAGTCTGATCTGAGAGGTATTTTACTCTGCTTTACTGACTCCCTCAGCGGTGTGTTTTTCAGTTATTAGTTATGATCTGTGAGTGATTATTAGAGTCTGATCTGAGAGTTATTTTACTCTGCTTTACTGACTCCCCTCAGCAGTGTGTTTTTCAGTTATTAGTTATGATCTGTCTGATTATTGAAGTCTGATCTGAGAGTTATTTTACTCTGCTTTACTGACTCCTCTCAGCAGTGTGTTTTTCAGTTATTAGTTATGATCTGTGAGTGATTATTAGAGTCTGATCTGAGAGGTATTTTACTCTGCTTTACTGACTCCCTCAGCGGTGTGTTTTTCAGTTATTAGTTATGATCTGTGAGTGATTATTAGAGTCTGATCTGAGAGTTATTTTACTCTGCTTCACTGACTCCCCTCAGCAGTTTGGTTTTCACCAAAAGTCTGCAGACGTTACACTGATCAGATGCATCAAAAGCAGCGCTGATTTCAGAAAATGACCACTGATGAAGGGCTAAAACAGGTTCGTCAGCTGTGGCCTCTGTATAAATGGTCATATTTCAGGTAAATAAATGTAGATGAAGTAGTGCATCTTCGGTAGCAGAGCTGTCAGAGTTTATCCAACCACAGACATTTATGTACAGAGAGACTACAGCGCTAGATACCAGCTCAGAAAGAGAATAATTTACATTTTCATAGATTTCTGAATGTATTTGGTGTTTCTGCTCTGAGTACTGAAGCAGCAACATCTTAAAAAAGAGAAATATGGCGTTTACAAACAAATGAACAGAACTGTGTTTTTCTCTCTGTTTCTTGCTGTAAACTGATGTCCGATCTGCTCCGAGTCTGTGGTGAGAGTTAAAAGTGGAAACATTAAGCACCACAGCTACAGAAATCACTGTGAATTAACCAGCAAAATCCAGAACAACAAATAAAATTAAGTGCAAGCTCATAGAAAATCCATCAGAGCGCTCGTTCATTCCCTCACAGCACAAGAACAGGCTTTATTGTTAAGAACAGCCTTTATTATCATGAATATTTCAGAAATTGTATTTCATTTTTCATTTATTTATTATTATTATTTCATTATGAAAATACAATTTTTTTTCTTCTGTACACAAATATCATGACTGGTTAAGTGTTAAAGTAGCCAGGAGATTTGATGTTAATGAACCTTCCCTACTTTAAAACCCCTGATCTAGAGAATGACATGTTAGTTCACAGTTCACTGAATTAGTTATAACCAGTCTTAAGCACAGAGTGAGGCTCCATAGTTCAGTTAAAGAAGCTGGTGATGTGATTGTTCTACTGAAGGTTCCCCTCAGTCTGAAGAGCTGCTGGATCTGCTGTAACTGAAGTGTTTCAGGATATTAATAAGAATCACTCTAATCTAAAGCTGTATGATTACAGACTGCACTGTGCTGTGATTCTACATTTGATTTTCTGAGGGTTTGGTCAGCTTAATTTTCACCAAACATCTAAAAATCACTGTTAACAGCTCTGAACGGTTACTTTAGTGTGACAAACCAACTAATATAAGTGAACACATGTTCAGTGTTTATATGTTCATCACTAGTCTGTACAGGTCTGATCTGTTAACGGCTGATCTTACTTTCTCCTGCTTTCTCAGGGTTAGTAAGAATGTGCTTATGTGCCTTAATGTACACTGTGTGACCCAAATGCTGCAGAAATCAGGAGTTTTCAGTGCACATTTTTATTCTGTTGTGCTGTAAACAGTCCTCAGTCATGATTCAAGCATGTTTAGAAACAGAACACAACTATAAATTGGACTGACTGAGAGTCCATAAGAATGTATATTATGGATGTATATTTTTGTTATGGAAAATGAAATGTTTGTCTTTATGTACACAGATTATGTCTTTCAAATAAAATAAGTGTAAATGCTTGAAAAATGTTCATGCAAATGAGACCCAGGTGTGTCTGATGAGGGTCTGATAACACAAACTGTTACGTGTCATTTTTGTGCAGTTTTGTCCTTTAACTGCTTTTGTTATCCTACAGTCATGGTATTAATTAATGCACCATTACAAACTCCTCATTTGCATAAGAAACAGGTAAACCATACTTCCAAAAGTATGTGAACAGTGCTTCTAACGGGTGAATTCTGACACAGTTTGTGTAATCTCCATGGAAAAGCACTGACCAATAGAAAGGGACACTTTAAAGCAGCATCACATGAGCCTATGGTCACCATGCCCGGTGCCAAGTATGGGCTAGAGGGGTATAAAGTCGCTCCAATACCTTTGGGATGAGTTGGAGTGGAGTTTGTAATTCAGGACTAATGATCCAACATCAGTACCTCACTAATGCTCAATCAAATCCTCACAGCAATGTTCCAACTTCTGATGAGAGAGAATCATCTGAGACATCCAGCACTGGGGGTCTGCTGAAGATCAGGGCCAGTACCTGCTGTGTGAGTCAGAGCAGACTGTTTGAGAGTGAGGTCAAAGGATGACTGCAGCTTGTCCAACGGAAGGTTAAAGTCACCACAGAGAATAAGTGGGGTTCCATCGAAGGGGAACAGACTCAGAAAAATGTCTAACAATCTATGAAGTTGTCCAGAGGACAAGGAAGGCAATAAATGACAATGATATGAAGTTTAGCTGGGAAAGATACAGAAACAGCACGACACTCAGAAGAGGACATTCGACGCTGAGAAAAAGAGAGTGGAGTGAAATACCACTGTATGGACAAAAGCTAACTTGTACCACCCGTGCTAGTCTCAGAAAATAAGCGGCAGAGAATGGTGCCGCTGGAGTTGCTGAGTTCTTGGGGGTGATCCAAGTCTCTGTCAAAGCCAGAAAGTGCAGCAAATGGCAATTCAGAGCCCACCTGCTACCCTGGTCTGAGATTATAAGCCAAGTAAATTAAAACTCAGAGCCTACCTTACCAGCTGAAAACTCACATCCTAGTCAGAGGGCACAAGCACACTGATTCTGGGAGGGGACTACCAGGGGGGTCCTGGTATTTCTGTTTCTGTTTGTGGTGATTGTTCAGCAGAGGAGACGAGCACGGAGGTTGCGGAGTGACCTTCAGGTGACTCGGTTCCTGGTCAAGATCCTAACATATGCTTTGCATAGAAAAGCAGGAGCAGAAACCAGGAAAGTGAGAGTGACTGTCATCTCCTACTGATTGATTATTCTCACTGTGAGGTAACATTTGGGATTTGATCACTCAGTTGGTCCGAGATTAACTGTCTGTGTAACCTGAGATTTCCCACAGATTCCCACTGATAACCAGCACTGAAGGATTTTATTTCTTTTTTTCTTGTAAAACCATAAATCAGAGTTAGTACATATATAGTTATGTTTGGATATATGAATAATACCTCGCTCCACCCCACCACCCCCAAAAAAGGAATAAAAAGTAGAAGCTACAGGCTTCTGCACACCGGACACATCAGGTGGACGGAGCACATAATAAACCCTGACCACAAATCCATAATAAATAATGTGGCTTCAAATTTACACCAAAAATGTCAGTCAAATGCCACAATTAGAAACTCCATGACCAATGAACAAGATGCTGGCTCTGCACTGCCCTCTGGTGGAGCATCAAGTTTAGTAATTTCAAGGTTCTTAAATATGACAAGGTGGAATATTAAAGCGAAGCGAGTTTGCTCAAAAATTCTAATTTACTATTTGATTTTTACATTGTTCATTATTTCTTTAATATTTGAAGTGGAAAAGCTAATGTCCAATGTTTTACTGCTGTTATTAATGGTATTAACATAATTATAATAGCATTTGTAATAGCATGAGACCCAGTACATTACCTGAATAATTAGCAGGAGGCTCATACATTATCTGACATACAGAAGCCGATTCAATAATGTTTAGGACACAACAAAGTGGGACACAACTTTTTTATACAGTTGGGCTTTTCAGTTGGAGTGGAAACAACATAAGAGAAGCAGTGTGTAAGTCTACCCTGTGTGTGTGTGTGTGTGTGTGTGTGTGTGTGTGTGTGTGTGTGTGTGTGTGTGTGTGTGTGTTTTTTTTACAAATGTGTTGTCAGTTTTTCCTGAAATAGTAAACGATAAAGTGACCTGTATTTTCGAAATGAAGGAGCTGTTGGCCATTCATGCTGAGAACATCACTTCCTGTTTACCACGATTATCATGACATCACAATGACACCCAGTTAAACAATGACCATGAACAGTATTTTAGTGTTACTGGACTCATTGAGATTACGGGTCCTACAGGATCTGTGGGTCTTTTTGTTTGTTATTGTGCCTTTTACTGTCTGCATGTTACAGTAATTAAAAGTTTCATTAAATTAAATCATTGTAGCATGTTTGTCTGTCACTCACTGTGTGAAAGTAAACATTTCAGAATGTATGAACTGACTAATCTGGGTATTTTATTGAGTCCAGGCTGGCTGCGGTTCTTCTCTGCAGATGCTCAGTTGGGTTCTGTTGGTGAGATTGGGCTGGTTCCACTGTCAGCAATGGCCTAAATCCATGAACAAAAAATATCAGATCTGGAGCTTCATTTATAGAAAACAGTCCCAGTTTAAGTCCCAGTCACTGTAATAGAGCAGTGATAGTTGTGGAAATGGCTGCATAAAGCAGAACAGAACGACTGCAGTTCTATCAGACTGGTGTAGGTGGTGTTCGTGGGTGGAAACAGAGATTTAAACTGGATTTAAAGTGAATTCTCCTGTTTTATTTTCATCAGCCTGCAGCTCCGTGTTTCTCCTGCAGGTGGCGGTAATTTCATATGTAAACAGCTCACTGTGAGTTACAGAGCACAGACTGTACAGACACCTTATTCTCTAAACTTATTATTATTATTATTATTATTATTATTATTATTATTATATTAGAGAGGTGAATATGTGGATGAGTTGCTGTATCTGGAGGTGAAGATGATCATTGATTCACGGAGGAGAGCTCTGCAGATACACATGGAATAACTTTCACTTTAACTCACTGTAAACAGCATCTGATTCTCAGATACACAAAAGCTAAACTAAACGCTGTAAAAGAAGAAATAAAAATGACAAAACAATAAAGATCATCTTTATTTCAGATTTTAAACAGTTTCATCATGAAGTACCCAAACCTGTACAGCAGAGGGCGCTACACACTGAACCTGCTTCCCAAACTGAACACTGACACAATCAACAGGAAATACTTACTGCTCTGTGGTAAATAATAAAATAACACATTTACAAAGTGTGTTTAGTGAAGGAGTGTTGTGTGTGAGTTGCAGAGGTAGGATGAGGTGGACAGTAACTTTTAATGATGTCATTCAATTTAATCATGAACATTTTTCATACAATTACTTCAGCTTATTACTAATAACGTATTTAAATATATAAACCCCCCCAGCCCAGCTTTTTCAGTACGAAATCCTCCAGAACCCCATCTGCACTGCGTGCTGCACCACTGTCACACATGCATGCACTGCATCATTTTTTAAAGGCATCATAAATGATTTACTGAAATGACCTGGTGCTAAATCAACATCTGGAATTTATATTAATATTACTTATTTATTTACTTTTTATAATCCTTCTACTTGACTGTTTGTTTATTTAATGTTTGTCTAATCTTTAATGTTAAAGTTTATTAATTTGGCTTATTGTCTAGGTTTTATTGTACTTTCCCCCTTTATTTAAGTCTTATTTGGTCAGATTATCTTGTTTGATTTTATTGTAGTGCGTTTTTTAGTTTAACCTTATTTTAGTTTAACCTGATTAAGTTTATTTTGATTTCAATCCCTTTAAGCTGTAAATGCTCAGCTGCACTGAAAATGAGTCACTCTCAGTGTACCTTTGTGTAAATGCAGCAGTTTTTGAATTTATTTTGAAATACACGCTTTCATTTTGAAACGAGTAAAAACAGGACGTAACTCTGTGAGCTTCACAGAGACCGAGGAGCACCTGTAGGGGTGATGTTACCTGCCAGTTTGTTTTTTCTTTGTATTACTCCATGCTTCGTGTCGTTTGCTACAGCCTTGTGAACGTGATATTAGGAGAAGTGTAAGCTGAAGAATTGTATTTTTGACCGTGAAGAGGGAATTCCTCTGGGGAATGACTCTGCCGTTGGTTGAGAAGCAGACTAAAGTGGTTAGTATTACTCTGAGTATTATTTTGGTACCAGCTACAATGCTAAGCAGTGCTATTTTTGTAATGATTACAATAACTAATGTTGTCTTTATTTTGTTTACTTGAACATTTAGTTCTACGGTGTTGATGTGGTGTCAATAAACATCTGTGAAAGGAACCGGAGTCTCGCATCTAATCAATGGGCGGCATACTTTGAATGAAAGTAAAGTGAAACACACACACACATACACACACACTCACACACACTCACACACACACACACACACACACACACACACACACACACACACACACACACACACACACTCACACACACACACACACACACATCACACACACACACACACACACACACACACACCACACACACACACACACACACACACACACATCACACACACACACACACACACACACACACACACACACTCACACACACACACACACACACACACTCACGTAATTTCACATTCAGAGATCATGATGTTAAAACTGTCCTCCTTCAGTTCATTCACACTGACAGAACCCAATAACAGTCTATTTTATTTCCACTTCATCCTCCGTGCTCACTGGTGCACTCGTTCAAAATCAACATTTAATTTTACACAAACACACAAACACTAACAACAACAACACAACAACAATAATCCTGTAAATCTTGTAAAATCTATGATCATCAGTGGTTCAGATTTATAGAGGACAGTGAAGAATAAACTCTGAAATAGACCCAGTGGTGACCCTGACCTGTTTGGATCAAGGTCAGAGCTCCTGTCACTCCAGAACAGTGGGCCAACAGACACACCTCCTTCTAAGACCCGCCCACCTGTAAAATACCTCACATATCAGTCAGATTGATCAGTAAAGAACCTGTACAGCTTTTTATATTGTTAATATTCTCTGCTTATTTAATGTGTTTTTAATGTTTCTGTAAAGCAGGTCAGGATTTATATCACACAGCAGAGCACAGTTACAAACACTCACACAGACATTCACTATTATAAACATTCATTTTATTATAATAGAAAATACACATTTATATACACAGACACTTTATTTCACATTGCAATACAACATATATACATCCTGAACCTCTAATGGACCCAGTTAGTTTACAGTGTTGTGTTCTGTTTGTAAACACACCTGAGTCAGGTGAGCAACATTACAGCCTCCATCACCTGAATTAACACTGTTTACAGCAGAACTGAATAAAAACATGGACTGAAAACTCCTGATTTCTTCAGTGGGAACATTCTCACCACACAGAGTCTACAGTAAGACACAGAATAACAGTGCAAACAATATAGAATAAAACAAATTAGGATATAAAATAATAATCCCGAACAAACAGTGAAATAACGCCGTTTTTGATCAGATTTGTACAGATTAGTGATGAATAAATTGTGATAAAACTCTTATTTCTTGCTTTCGAATGGAAGTTAATACGTTTGATCATTTTTCGCTTCATTCATCATGAAATTTGAACATATTATAAAGGGCAGCTCCCATTTTCAAACTCTGTGAAGAAAAAACATGCAAAGAAAAAAACAACAAAAATGAGAAATAAAGCTTTGTTCCCAATATATAGAGATGAAACAGAAAAAAAGAAGGATGGTTTTGTGAAGACCAATCAGAGTAGCTGGTGTCCATTCAGTTCAACTTTCAGTCTTTCAATCTTCACCTGGAGCTGCTGATTTTCTCTCCTCTGCCGTACAATCACCACCACTAACACCACAATCACAGCTACAAGTACAGCCACCAGTACAATCAGTACAGCCACCCACACTGGAACAGCAGCTCCTCTATCTGTGTCCAGATCTGGATGGTCACCTACAAAACACACACAGGTTTGTAATACAGTGAGTTTAACTGAACACCATCATTAAAGCTCAGCAGCAGATTCCTGATCAGTGAACTCTGATTGAACTGAAGAAAGCAGGTTACATACCTTTCACTTTATCACTTCCCCCTGCTGACCCCACGGTCACTGTGTAGATGTGAATGACCTCTTCATTCCTTTTGTCCATTACAGTATAAACCCCACTATCAGATGGAGTCACTCCTCTCAGCTGAAGAGCAGCCGATACTCTTTGCTTATATTCAAGTTTACACTGTAGTGACCGTCCATCCACTGCACAGATCTGACCACTGGATGGTCCAGCTGCACCTGTACTGTTATAAATCACCTCCACTTCCTCTGGTATCTCCAAATCCAGGACCAGAGATTCACCAGGGTTTATCTGAAGTGAAGTGTTCAAGGCTGAGGAAAAGAACCAAAAGGAACTTCATTATTCGTAGTCTTGGACACTGTGTGGACCACTGCTGTGTGGGTGTGGTAACGTCCAGTGTAAGAACGCAGTGCAGATTTTGGCTGCAGCTTCACGTCTAATTTTTCGTTTGTTTAGTATTCTTTATGGTAAGTTTGTGATTTGTTTTCCATGCTGGCCTAGGAGTTTTTCAGAGAACGAGCTGTGACACTGAGCACCACCCACCACCCACGGCGGCAGAGTTTCTCACGCATACCCGTTTGTTTCCCGCCAGTGTGTTTTTGTTGTAGCACCTCCATGTCACACAAAACAATAGCCTGTGTTTGGGTGTTTTGGCCTTTGATGTTGAAGTAGGCAGTTCTTTGACACACTAAAGCCTGGCAATCTTGTTCTTTGGTGACTCACACTGTATGTTTGAATCGTCCATCGTGTTCAGCCAAAGCCTGTAATTTATATGCTCACACTGTACAAAAACACTCGGTCCGACTGACATGACGCAACATGGGAGCTCACACTGCACATGAAACACAGCTCCTACAGACGCTCTGTCTACAGTAAAGCTGTTTCATTCAGAACAACACAAGTGCCAAGCAAAAACACTGGCTGAATCTCAAACGGCTCCCTGCTCCCTACTTAGTGCACAACATATTTAAATAGTGGCTCCTGCACCCATAAAGTGGATGTCTAATTATTAGCCTTCTGAGATTCAGCTGTGTGTCCACAGTTCCATACTGGACAAAGAGGGCACTATTTTGACATTGAAGCCAGAACTTAGTGCACTACACAGGAAGTAGGGGGCGTTTGAGATACAGCTTTGCTAACTTGTGCCACAGACAAAACTGTCTACAGGCGGCTTTACAAAGACAAAACATCACCGTATTTATTTATACCTCGCAATTCAACTCAGACAAATGGAGCAAAGTCTGCATAAACGGACGCTGGAGCCGCAAATGTGGACTCTTTTGCCTCCGTGTCGGAGCGATGGGGGTGACTGTGTGTGGTTTTGGGTGCGACTGTGAGAAATCGGTTCGTGAGGCAGCTCAGGCTGTGAGACAAGCAACCAAAATTTCTGATGTCAGAAATACATCCGGTCAGAGCTCATTTGGGCAGTTAATCAGCCATCGTTTCCCCTTTTCACACTGCATGACAAACGACAGCCGATGAAGCTGAAATTCGGCCCGATCATGAAATTCAGTCGGCTCAGACCAAATCGAGCTTAAAAACAGTGTACACCTGGCTTAAGAGACAAAACAGAGGTGTGTGAGACTAGAACTTCATCAGCTCCACAGATCTGCAGCACTGCACCTAAATCAGTGGAGTTCTATCAGTAATGCACAGTGAAGAAAACAGATGGACACTTACGCTCAATAAGTAGCTGCACATCACAGAGTTCTTTACCATCACAGTCACAGGTGTATCTCCCTCTCTTACTGAAATCAGCGTCAGTGATGGTGAGAGAGAGATTCTCCTTCAGGTACTGATCATGGATCATCTGATATCCCTCCTTAGATCTACATGAAGTCTGATCACACTCAGCCAGAGTATCAGTGGGTTTATGGAGCACAGACCATCTGACCAAACCAGAGCATCTCTCAGAGCAGGACAGAGTAGCAGAGTCATGAAGATTCACCTCCACAGAAGGAAAAGATGATTCAAACACTGAAAGAGAGAATCAGATAAAAGGAACGAAACTTTTAACAATAACTGACCAACTTCAGCACAGGGGTCTTGTTGTTAGAAAAGCAGGTTTTAATCATCAGCATCAAACAGAAGATTGAAAATCCAGCATGTTTTAAAAAATCTTGTTCAAAGTGAAGTTCAAAAAAATATATTACAAATTAGTAATAATAGTACAATTTTACTTATAACAACATATTATTTATGTACTAAACTAAATGTAAAATACAGTCTTTAATAAGATAATAAAGGAGTGACAGTGCAGTTCTTACCAGTAGTGAATGTGTTGGTCAGTAAGATCAGGATACAGAGAGCAGAACTGCAGGACTGCATGACTGACCTACAGACACACAAAAAAGAAGTAAAAACATAATCAGTACTCAGTCATTACAAACGCAGAGGAACAGAATACACAAGTCATGGATCAGCCTAAAAAACCTTTCACTTTTCCTTTGTACAGTGTTTAAAAGAGCAGAAATTTGATCGTAAGTTATTAATCAGATTCAGCGCGTGAAATCAAGTGCCAGCGTACCAGCACCTAATTATATATTACTTATTATTATTATTTATAGTTATATTGCCATTTTCCGAGTGATGAGCTGCTTTAGGTCATGGCTGATAACTGGACTGTCAGTATGATCTGTAATATCATATTTCAGTACATGATATTATTAACCACACAGAAGCTTTTAAATTAATTTTATGAGAGATTTTTCATGCCATAGTGCAGTAATACAGAGTTTGGATGTTGTGAGGCACTCATAGGTGTGAATACGTGTATCTTACAGTTGCTTTCAATGCAGATTTTAGGACCAGAACTGTCTGTTTTATCATGTTGGGTTTCAAAGCTTCATTTGTAAAGACCCCTGAGCAAACAGGACAGAGCTGTAGTTAAGAGTTTTCAGCTCTCACACCTGGGCAGCCCAGAGCTGCATATTCACTACTGGACTTCTTTAGTTTCAGTTATGCCTGCACTGAAAACGTTAACATAACTAGCATTTTGCCAGAAAAATCAATGAACGTGACATATATATATATATATATATATATATATATAGCAATGTCTTTTTGCAAATAATCAACAATATTTCTCATATTTAAAATGTGTATTGTAACAATTTTTTACTTTACATTTTTACAGTTGTATGTTTCAGAATGGCTTAACTGAGATGACTTGTTTGTTGAGAGCAGATCAGAATATTACTATTATTATGTTTTCACCTACTAATAAAAATGGATGTACTTTAGTTTCTGTTCATTCGACTTCAGGTAGTGGCACAGTGGGTAGCACTGTTACCTCAGAGCAAAAAGGGTCTGTGTTCAGTTCCCTGGCCGGGTGGGCACGGTCTTTTCTAACATTATATTTCACAATTTATTTTATAAAGTTTATTATGTATTAAACTGTATCATACATAATTAATGAATTAATGAATGAACAATTACTGACAATATCATATATATATATATATATATATATATATATATGTATATGTGTGTGTGTGTGTGTGTGTGCATGTGTGTATAAATATATATATATATAGTTTGGAGGAGGGATGATGCTATGTTTTGCTATTGTTTTTCAGGGGTTGGTCTAGAACCCTTTAGTTCCAGTGAAGGGGAATCTTAATGCTTCAGCACCAAGACATTTTGGACAATTGTATGTTTCTAACTGTGTGAGAACAGTTTGGGGAACCTTTTCTGTTCCGGCATGACTGAGACCCAGAGCACAAAGCAGCTCCATGAAGTCATGACTGATAACCGAAAATGAAGTTTTTATTCACTTTGGTAACAGTCATGCTCGACTGTTCACGCTCCTACAGACGTGGGTTTGATTGTGCAGGTAAGCCAAAGGTGAAACTGATGAACGAAACTGTGGGAGAAACTGGTGTGTTATCTTTTTATCATTTGTATCTGAAAATATGACTTCATTTCTTTTAATATTGCTTCACGAGAGGTAGGATATGAACGGTATTCTGCTGTTGACTCAGAAGAACCCAGAAATGCCATTGTGTGTATAAAAATCAGAAAAGGCTGCTGATTCACAGTGAGAGCAGGGAAGGTCACCTCTACGTACGGAGAGAGAATCCTAAACCTGCGCTAAGTAGCAGAGCACTATTAAAGTGGAGGTGTATTGTAGTAGCTCAGCCTCCTGATGGTCACAACAAATCTGTCTTGCCGTTTGGGGTCCCAGAGACCCCAGAGTTGTGTGGGTAAAATAAAATTACATTCAAAATGAAAGCTTTTCCTCCGCAGACTGTTACATCATTCTACACCAGAGATGCTGTAACTCAGTACACTGAGAAAAGTGTTTTCACCCTCGCTTTGAACAACAAACTGGCCTTTCAAATTTCAGGAAGGTGAATAAACGTGAATGTGTGTGTGTGTGTGTGCGTGCGTGTGTGTGTGTGTGTGTGTGTGAAAACACACAGAGTGAGAGACGGGAGACAGAGAGAGAGAGAGAGAGAGAGAGAGAGAGAGAGAGAGAGAGAGAGAGAGAGAGAGAGAGAGAGAGAGAGAGAGAGAGACGAGAGAGGAGACGAGAGAGAGAGAGAGAGAGAGACAGAGAGAGAGAGAGACAGAGAGAGAGAGAGAGAGAGAGAGAGAGAGAGAGAGAGAGAGAAAGTTTTGCAGTTTCTATGAAAGTATGAAGAGTTATTCAGTACCAAGCTGATCTAAAAGGGGCTGAGGATATTCTGAGAGCTGTTAAAGAGGCTCGGGGGTCTCAGGGACCCCAAACAGAACACAAGAGTTAAAGCAGTGTGTAATAATTGAGTTATAAACACTGTTTCTGCTCTCTGTGATCAGGACTGCACTCGATTACAGGGAGTCCTGCCTCACACACACTTCCTCCGCGGGACTCGACTGCTCTGTACACGTGCTGTAACTGAGCTCTGCGCGCGCTCCTTAATCATAATACACCAACAACCACGTGCATTATTATTACTGAATTAGAGAAATGACATTAGTGAACACACACGCACACACACATACACACACACACACACACACACACACACTCACACACACACACACACACACACACACACACACACACACTCACACTCATCACACACACACACACACTCACACACACACACACACACACACAACACACACACACACACACACACACACACACAACACACACACACACACACACACACACACACACACACACACACACACACACACACACACACACACACACACACAGACAGACACAGAGAGAGAGAGAGAGAGAGAGAGAGAGAGAGATCAGTTAAGTCAACCAGAAGGAGAGCGCGCTGCACGAGCGGGAGCCGGCTCGCGCTTTAGCTTTAACCTCCACAGTTCAGACAGTCAGAGCAGACAGAGTTAAACCGCTGTTTCAGTCAGAATAATCGATCAGTAAAGTCTTCATCAGTCACACTCACCGCTCAGCACTAGGCTCCTCAGCAGACCCGGTCCTCTCCGCTCCGCTCCTCTCTGTGCCTCTCCTCCTCTTCTCTCCGCTCAGCTCCTCTCCGCTCCTCTTCGCTCCTCTCTGTGCCTCTCCTCCTCTTCTCTCCGCTCAGCTCCTCTCCTCTCCTCTCCTCTCCTCTCCGCTCCTCTCTGTGCCTCTCCTCCTCTCCTCTCCGCTCAGCTCCTCTCCTCTCCTCTCTTTTCCGCTTCTGTCCGCTCCTCTTTGCGCCACTGCTCGCCGGTTAAGTGACGCTTTAAGGGAAATTACACAGGCAGCAATGACGTCGCCGCTCGCTCGCGCCCACTGCGCGCGACCGGCGTTTACTTACCTCAGCCGTCAGAATCGCCTCAGCGTTTTACCACCGCGAGTCCTGCTCTGGCGGTTTATAGAGAGATTTTAACTGAATTTGCTCTGAATGAACCAGCAGAATAGGAGGATCTGTACTCTGAGCTGCTGCTGCACTGAAACAGTTCAGATTCACAAAGGTAAACTTTCCACTCTGAGGGAAAAACTACAGTAAACCCCTTTAACACATCATACAGTGCACATTAACCTCTTAGCTGCCAGTTTGAGAAACAATGATTTTTTAAACAGATACTGTTTTATTTGTTGTGAATATTTAAATAAGAGATACACATCAGTACATATATCACATTAAAATCTACATACGCCACACATAACTGTGGATAACTTAAATTAACCAATCAGAACAGTGATATACACACCTACTCAATTTAATAAATACATGTACAGTTAAATACAGTCATTCACTACCAATCAAACTGTTCATACAGCTGTGTGCAGTAATATCACAGTACGTAATTATTTAAGTAATTCATTCATTTAAAATGAAATTGCATAGATATTCATATACATACACAAGAACCAGCCACTTTATCAAGTCCACCTCCTTGTATCTCCAGTCATTGTCCATTTTATCAGCTCCACTGACCATACACTGTTAAAATGAGAGGTCAGCTCAGCTCAAAATGATGTAGTAACTGATTACATGGCTTTTCTTGAGTTCACACAACTCAAACTTCTTAGTTGAGTCAAAAGTTCTCTTTTTTAGTTCTGCATCTCGGTGAGGTAAATAAAATTAACTTGTTTTATACTCAACTTCCCCACCAGCCAAGACTCTCTCCATCACACAGTCCTGCCAGACATTTTTCCTCTTGGATACATACTTACAGACGGCTGTGGCATCGCTGGGTCTCAAACTCACAACCTTCTGTTGGGGTGACGGCTTAGTCCACTGCACCACTCAGCAACACATGAAGTAACTCTGATTTTGTCTCTAAAAATGTTTAAAACACTGTTTAATCATTCATCCCAACATCAGGAGGTTGTGAGTCTGAATCCCAGCAATGCCACAGCTGTCCAGATGTCCAGAAGCTCAAGAGGAAAATATGCCAGATGGAGCTGTGTGACAGAAGGAGTGCCAGCTGGTGGGGAAACACAAATTCAGTTTTGTTTAACTAACTGAGATGCAGAAACAGCAGCTGGGAGAACTTTTGACTCAACTAAGAAGTTTGATTTGTGTGAACTCCGGTGTCCTCAAGTTGAGTCAACTCAGGAAAAACCACGTAATCAGTTACTATATCATTTAAAGTTGAGCTGACGTCTCATTTTAATCAGTGTATGGTTTCATTTTGTAGTTCTACAGTTACAGACTGTCGTCCATCTGTTTCTCTGCATACTTTGCCAACCTGTTCTTCAATGGTCAGGACCCCCACAGGACCCCCACAGACTCCCAATGTTACAGAAACTGGAAGCTCCACCCATCTGTGCATCTGCAGGTCATATGGCTGTGTTCACATTACCAGGTTGAAGTGGCACAAATCAGATTTTTTGCCCTAATGAGACTCTGTGTGGACTGTGTGGACACACAAATCTGATCTTTTCAAATCCGACCTGAGCCATATGTGAGTCATATGTGGTCCTAGATCGGATAGGTATCTGATTCATGGCCATGCGACCTTAATGTGACGCTCAGATCAGAATTCATGTGCTTTTTTTCCACTGCGCTGCGCCATCATTCAGCGTTACCATGGCAGCAGCACTGAACAGAAGTTAAAGTCTGTAAACGGTGGAAAAGCAGCTCATCTCACCTTTTTCTCCTTCGTCTCGCTCTAATAATGAAGCTGAGAGCTGATCAGAGTTAATTATCTCCTCAGCGAAGCTCGTTCTGCTCGTTAGTTTGTGCTGATGATGCACGTGATTCATTCCCGTGACGTTACTGAGTAGAATGAGCTCATGAGGGTCATTTCAGGACGCCGGTTCGTCACATTGATGACAGATTTGAGTCGCTTACCTAAGCGAGTGTGAACCATCGTGTCAGAGAGATCGGATTTGAGCAAAATATCAGATTTGAGCAATCAGGCTTGCAATGTGAAGTCTAGAAGCAGCCTAAGTGATCACCAGGTAGAGTTTTTGGATGTTTTCACAGGCTTTTCTAGATCAGCGCATGATGACACACAACTCTCTACCAGCAGGCAGCATGATCCCTGGTGATGGTTGTCAGTCCCACTCCTGGACAGTGGAGGCTTCAGTTCCTAAAATAAATGCAAACCTGTAATTTAACCTCAGTTTGCTTTCATTTGCCCAGCTGAACTTTACTTAATAGTTTTGTTTTTTTTTAATAATTGAATTATGTTTGAAATAAACTGAAAGATTTCAAATCTTTCAATTAATGTACTAATCTAATATTAGTCTTAAGCTCTGTCTTGGAACTTACCTTGTGTTTCTTTTTTAGGTTGGGCCACATTTTCCTGTAGCCCCAATTCCAATGGATGGTCCTAACAAACAAAATCAAATTAGGGGTTTTAACTTTCTTAGAGAACAGGTAACGAGATTAAAGGATCCAGCATCATTCAACTAAAACTCTAACCAGATTAGGAAAGTGCTCAACCACACAAGCAAATGGCTTCCACTTATTTTTAAGTTATGATTAGCTAATGTTACATTATGGAGGCCTCGAGCTCCGATCTGCTCCCTGAAAGAGCGGAAACAGCTCGTGTGTGTGAACACGGAGAACTTAATAGTTAACTACCTAGCAAGTTACAGAGAAGCACCTGTAACCTTCATTATTCTATCAAATTATTCAAGACACAAAAACAGATCAATGATTAGATTGTGCTACCTCGTCATTAGCTGGCTAATGTTTGACAAAATCGCAAGTTAAACTATTTTGTTAGCCAGCTGGCTATTCAAAACAACAGGCTGGCACTTCAAACTCTGCTAGCATGCATGCTAATAGCTTGGCATTCCAAAAACTGCAAAATGGTCACTGATGACCTAAACTGCAGGCTATAGGCTATTTGTACACCTTCATGACAAGAAAACAAATAAAATACAGTAGAAATTCAGAATAACTTACATTTTGAAGATGACACTTCGCCGCTTGCTGGGCTGCTAGCCACACCACTTCTGCCCTGCCATCTGGCTGATATCAGTTTAATGAGATATCAGGCCAACTTTGGCAGATAATGCTGGATGGGTGACTGGGACAAGGAAAAAAAAACAAATAAATCTGATTAAATGCTCTAACAAATTTCTCCTGAAAAATACAGATCTCATACAATACAAAATACAAATCTCAATAAAATACTGAGGAAAGAAAGCCACGTTATAACATCAGTAACAGTAGAGGATGGTACAGAGTGAACAGGTTGAGCATATAAACACATTCTATTAAATATTTAATTTGAACTGTATTAGTTTCAGTATCAGAAGAGGAAAGTGCTGTGGTGGCGACTCTAACAGAGACTGATGGGTAAATCTGGCTGTGTCTGGAACTGAAGGCCGCGGTCTGAATGCCCTGCTGTCTCATAACTCACTGATACTCATAAGGTGCCTGTAACTGGATCACAGTTCAGTTTCTATACATCACAACATTACCAGGATATCGAAAGCTCACTGCTGTTAGCCTCTATTCACTGTAAGCAAATGAGGGTTTACTGGCTGGACTAGCACTGAATGGTAGCCTACATTTGCTAAATAAGCTAACAGACACTGACTGTTGAGACTCCTATGCTTTATAACAGTGTAATAATGTACCAAACTATTAAAATCTAGTGTATAAACCAAAGAGAATGTTTTTTTTGTTAAGAAATATCATAACAAAGGGGAAAATTCCTCTGCTAGTAGGTCAGCATTGTCCCACTGTGATGAGGTCATGGCTGTGCTGGTGTGGAAAGGTTTCTCTTTCAGGTAACTGTCACGCTGTAGTAAAGGTTAAATTAGATCTTTAGTCTTAGTGGAAAAGAGAGAGAGTAATCATCTGATACCACAACACAAATATTATCTTACTAGTGGAGGATTTTGTCTCTTTTAATAATAAATAAACAAATATGTTTAGTTCATACAACATATTTCAGCTGTGCTGGACTTGGACTCCATACTGAGGCCTACATTTCTGAACAGTCAGGTTCCCTTTATAAACACACATAAAGAGCTGAGCTCTCTGTTCTAAACTCACAGATAAAAGGATGCAGTGGCTGTTTAGCAGTTCAGGCTCTTATTAGACTGGAACAGTTATTAAGAATAACTACATTGAGTATTTAATTAGAAATAAGCTGAAGTAAAAACAGCTTCATTAATTTAGTAACACTATTAAAAGTGACTCTTCATGCTAATCCTAGAAGTGATCTGAACAGTAATAACCTGATGTTCACTAAACTCAGGCTCACTTTTTTAACCGTGTCAGTGTGCAGTTCGGGAAGCAGGTTCAGTTTGTAGCACCACAGCGCCCCCTGCTGCACATTACTCTTCATTAAACTGTTTAAAATCTTGTATTACATGATGTAATATTGCGTGCAACAGGTGACTTTTCACAGTTTGCTAATTTTTTCCTGCCTTTAGTGTTCTAGCAGTTTTACTTCTTGAGAAATAAATCCTGTTTATGGTTTAATTATTCCAGATTCCTTCAGTAAAACATATTTATCACTGACTGGAGAGAATGGATGAGTAAAGAGAAGAACATCTGTACTGAACTGTAGTATATAACTATGATTATACAGTATTAATCTTCAATCACCCTCTTCTTCTATAAGATAACAGCGTTTTAATATTTGGTCCAACAGAACAATCATACTAATGTTTTAAAAGATGTTTATGATGAATATTTATGAAGATTTCATATTTACTGTAACCGTATAGCTCAGATAAATCTCCTATAAAATCTCTTCTAGGATATATAACAGCAGCAGTAACTGACCTCCTTCACTCTGAGTCTGATAGTGAAGATCTTCATCAGCAGGAATCTGAGTTTATGTTCATTATTCCACCACTGTTCCTCCTCATCTTCTCCACATGTTCTCTCCTCATCTTCACCTCCAGATACAGCAGACTCCTCCCCCATATTCACCTCTATAGTAATAATAGTATAATAATAATAGTCTTTACAGAGTAGCTTGTCTGTACAGTCTGTGGTCTATGGGTGTAACTGACAGAGAGCTGTTTACATTTGAATTTGACATTTGAAAACAGGCCACCTGCAGGAGGAACAGAGAACTGCAGCTGCAGAGCCCAGACACATTACATGGGTGTTTGCTTGTTTCTGATTGGTCTAACTCATCTACAGGCAGTTCAGTAGCTCTGTGTCATTAGGTTTCTTAAAGCTGAAGACAGTGTTGTTGATAATGTGTTATAATCGTAGTGTAATACTTTATCAATTTCAATACAAGATCAGTTAATCTTTCAGCTCATAAAGCTGTACAGTATCAGGATCAATACTGTCAGCAGAGCCTACCTGAATATCTGAGTGGGCTCCTGTGTTCTGCAGGTTCTGTCCACATTCGGTCAAACTGGTCAGCTCTGATTAATGAAAATAATGAGATGGTCACTGCTGTCTTTCTCATTTCTGCTCTTCTTTGGACAGTAGGAGGGTTCAGTGGTACCACTGACCCGTCCAGACCCGTCCATCTTGTACTTCAGCCATTGTCCCATTTCAAATGAAATATTGTCAAATATGTTATTTTCTTTTTCTTAATATCGTGTTTTGCTTTTTTTTAAAATATATTTTTCTTCTGTTTTCTGTTTTTCTGTCAGGTTGGTTTTTATTTGCATCTTTGTTTGTACTTTGAGATGCAGTTTAATGAGTGATGCTAAATAAATAAATAAATAACTATCATCATTATTCAGTTGTTATTGATCATTCATGTAATAGGTCATAAATGTCAATTATATATATTGACATGAAGGTTATTTATTTTGGCTACAGTGATGATGGTTTAAACTGCCTGAGCCTCTAAAAGGCTCAACACGCTTCTAAATACAGTAAACACATCAGAAAATACATCACAGATTTACACACATATTTATTATAAACATCTACTGTAGAGCAGAGATTGTGAGAGTGACCCTCACAGTGTCCGGTACAGTCCACTCTGTAGTTTTATTACAGCTCGTAGTATGTTATTGTGTCACAGGTTTGGCACCATTTGCTAAAAAAGAGCAGATAAAGTGGTACAGAATGTGCTGCAGTTTGGACACACCAAGTTCAATCAGACAAGCAGATATTATTACAGAACAGAACAGATCTTCATTCACTGATAATCATTCACTGATTTCTGTTACAGTTTAGCTTTAATCAACATCTGATTCTGTTACACTCAAAATAAGACAATAACAGTTCATACAGATTTATAAAGACACCAGTCGCAGGAACAGAATACAAGTGCTTTTAATTTAGATATATAAAAAAGGAATAAATGATCAGTTATTGTTGTGAACAGAGCTGATGACATCGTCTCTGGTGCTCTATCAGTGTTGGAAGTTCACAGATGTTCATGGATCAGCTCAAACATCAGATATCAGTTTGAATCACAGCACTTTGGTGTAAAGAAAAACAGCTGCGTTGTAAGAAAACAGTGCAAATGTACATAATAAAAACAATGTTCACAGTTACATTATATTGTGACGTCCACACACAATGATGGTTCTTCAAGGGTTCTTTAGCAAAGAAAATGATTCTATATAAAACCATGAACACTCAAAGCAACCCTATGTGTGATTACAGAGTTCTCTGCATCATGACACGGTTCTTCAGACTGATGAAGAATATGCTGCAGATGGTTCTATATAGACCCTTTTTGAAAATGGTTCTTCTATTGTTATGGTGTCAGGCTGGTTCCACTTTTTGGCACTATATAGAACTTTTTTCAAAAAGGTTCTAGATAGAACCATCTACAGCACATTCTCCATCAATCGGAAGAACCCTTTAATCATGCATAGGGTTCATTGAATGTTCATGGTTCTATATAGAACCATTTTTTTTTACTGAAGAACCATCATTTTTAAGTGTGCTGGCAAAGAAGGAAATGCAGAAAACAGCACTTTAAGGAAAGACTCTTTTATTGAACCTGCAGCAGTGAAGAACCAGGGGGCCAGGTTAGCGGGACAGGTCACTTCTAACATTGTACATGGTGGATACCCAGACCACCCCAACTGTCCCACAGCCCTACACATTAACACACCCCAACACTGCTGCACACCTTTGAGCTAACAGACAACAACTATTTACCAATTACACTCTCTCTCTTCCTGCAGCCAGCGCTTTCCCAGGAGGCTCCACGCCTCCACGGCTGAATTAGCCAATAGGGGAACACTACTATATTTACAGTTTTCCTTCAGTGCATAGAGAATACAACACCAGGTCTTCCTCCGTTCACTGAGCAGCTCAGTGTTTATATCACACACATTCTCATCACTGCGCTGCTGAAGCAAGAAAGATGCTGGAATTAGACCCCGAAAACCAGAGCAGCCAATCAGAACAGTCAGTGGGAGGGTCATTTCTGATTGACAGAGTTAATGCTGTAATGATGACACTTCTATCTTATTTCCTTTTGTTGTTATGAAGGTCAGTTATTATTAAATAAATGAACCCATAAAAGGACGAATCAGGACCAGTTTTTGTTTTGTTCATCCCAGTTTGTCACAGTTTTGTTGACTGGTGTTGGCAGAGGTGGCAAAAGCTGGTAATAAAACTACACTACAGTTCACTCCTAAATCAGCTGCTAATCACCTGCTTCTTCATTGCTCAGTGATTAAATCATTTTAATCTGACCATGCACAATTACCCTCTCAATTGATGCTATTGTTTTATTGTTATCCTCCTACTGTTCAGCTGAAACTTTCACAAGGCTGACACAAACATTTTACACCGTCGTCAAGAGCTGCTAAACAGTTTAAGCTGTGAACAACTGGTTTCCAGCCTTCTCAAAGCTGGCCAGAACACCAGCAGCTCTGTAGAGAACTATGCTGGCTGGGAGGAGATGAAGATGGTGCAGAAAGAGGAGGCATAAAGTACCTGATGGCTTTTAAAAGACAATGACATTTTAAATCCTTCTCCAGACTAAAGAAGCAGGAGATTCATTATCTTTGTGTGTGAAAACATATCAAGTTCTGATGCTCTACACTCTGCATTTCCACAAACTGACCTAACCAGGTGAAACCTCTGTCAGAGTAATATTTTCAGGAGGAGTCGAGCTTGTTTCCTCAGCAGTGTCTTTGTTATCACCACTTTTCTTTACTTTCTTCCAGCAGCAGCAGCAATGTATTAAAGGTGGTAGGACAAAGAAGCCCAGCAGCACTCCAACCACGAGCCCCACAACAAACCCGATGTATAATTTAGCTGTCTCCCAAAAGCTCCATATCCAGCTCTCCTTCTCACCTGAAAGAGGAAAAAAAATTGTGTAATAAAAGAAACTTTTTCTCTTTTTTTAGGTTTTAATTTACACTTTTAGAAATTATGCAAGATAAATTTGGAGATCAAGCCCATTTTACTGATATCATAATGTGGTGGCTTTCTGGCTTGTATGTTTTCTAGTTCATCTGCATATCCTGTGAGCTTTCAGGGGGAGCTAATGTCAAAATCCTTACAGCAAAGACTGTCCACTTGGTGGCCATCTTGGCTACACCACCAGGCATTTGTTTCTACTCGTACAAGACTAGATCTCTTTGAACAGGGAGAGACCTAAAAACTCAAAACTGAAGGCCAAATTATTGTGTCAAAAACATTTAAAATCACTGGTAAAATCTGAACTGAGCTTCTGGCCTTTCCCACTTGTGGCTTTACCACCCAGCCAACTGGTACTATTTAATGATGGGCAGGACTGTCTCCACCTTTATAACGTCTCTGATACTGTGCTGGGTAAAGCTGTTGTTTATCAGTAAGTGGGTCTGTTTAGCACTTACAGTGTTCTCTACTGAGTTGCATGTGTCATATTGGAACTAGTCAATGTTGTGGAAAGTGTTTATGTTTCTATATACATGAAATGTAAGTGACCCTGTAGCTCCAGGGTTTAGTTATTTGGCGTACAACTCAGTGCCAATGTAGGTTTAAGTAAACCAAAAAAAGCTTGGAGTCATCGCACTGTATTAAAGAGTGACCTCCACCAGTGATACCTCACAGTCAGTGCCAGGTTAAACACATGGTGGCTATGTGAGTGAAGACAGCTGAAGATGAGTTCATGTCTTGGTGTCAACATCCCTGTCTTATTTTTCAGTTTTGACTGAAACAATTTAAACTCTATCTTATCTCAGTCTTGACATCATTTGGACTCAGTCTTGTCTGATCTCAACATCATTTGGTCTTGTCTCAATCTCGGAGTAAGGTGGGCTTGAAAAATTGTTCTTGGGGCCAGCCCACTGTGATGCCTCCATCTGAGGTAACTGGAAACTCTATATTTTGCCTATCATTTTTGAAAATCAATAAAACCTTCAAAAGGAAAAAAACATATTTTTTTCTACATGTTCAAATAACATTTATTTACTGCCAGTTGAGGATTTAATTGACCTTTCCATGATGGCTTAACAGGGTATTATTTGTTGATGTTCATTGGTTCCAAAATTTAAACATCCTCTGAGAGCGGATATTATTAGTGTGTTTTCATTTAATGATAAAAATGAATGTATGCTGTTTCTTTATTATTCAGTTGACCTTAGGTCTGCTCGCCATCAGTGGCTTGCAGAAGTTACAGTGCAAAGCTGAACTATGACAATAATAATGTATACTATAAAATATGCAATAATATACTAATAATCAGTATTATTTTAGACTATTATGTAATATTATTTATTAATATATATCAAGTACAATGCAGAATAACAATGTACAATGAACTATAAATTCATTTCAGTTTATGTCCAGTTTTTATTTTTATATACTGAAAGAAAAAAGTCTGGCATTGGTCCTGGTCTTGAATCAAACCTATAAACCATTAGAGATTATGACAGTGTAGTAACTGTAGTCATGCTTTGTTTATCTGGTTTCATGTATAAACTGCTCTATGTAGCCTTTAGCCTCCGAAAGTTAACACCCCTTGACATATATAATTTGCAAGTGTGTTGATAGGAGAAAAACGTTAAAGGCTTACCTCCAACAATACTGACGCTATAAGTAGACACAGTCTCCTCATTCCCAGTGTCCACTATGGTGTAAACACCACCATCAGAGTACTTCAGGTCCTTCAGCTGCAGACTGGACTGGAACAGCACTCTCTCCTCATATGGAAGGTCACACTGGACTTTACACCCCTCTACCTCACACAGCTTCACGGGGTTCTGAATGGCATCTCCAGTTCTGGTAAAAGTCACCCTCACTGGCTCTGAGATTGGAAGATCCAGGATGAGAGATTCTCTAGGCTGTACCTCCTTAGAATACACAGGAGCTGCAAAGATAAAACACAATAAACCACAACATGTCAGCCACATCTCGCTTTAAATGACATCGCTATGCTGACACAAATACTACACGATGACATCACCATTTCAGTGCTCAGTCAGTGCAATAACAAGACCACACTGAGGGGCTGATGCTACACCTGTGACACCACACTGTGATACACAAAAAGCCACCGTGGTTCATCTGTCTGTGCACCTTCTTGTAGGCCTGTTTCTGTTTTCTTTTTTTCATGGTCAACCTTCTACCTTAAGGCAGAGACGTTCTAGATCCAGCCTACATTCCTAAGTTACACTCTGATTTAAAAACACTTACCCTGAAGCCTCAGAGACACATCACAGACAGCCATGTTATCACATGTACACGTGTACATGTTCCTCTTAGAGAAATCAGCGTCAGTGATGGTGAGAGAGAGATTCCCCTTCAGGTACTGATCATGGATCATCTGATATCCCTCCTTCACTGATCTACATGAAGTCTGATCACACTCAGCCAGAGTATCAGTGGGTTTGGTGAAGACAGTCCATCTGACCAAACCAGAGCATCTCTCAGAGCAGGGCAGAGTAGCAGAGTCATGAAGATTCACCTCCACTGGAGGAACAGCTGACAGAAGCACTGAAAAAGAGAATAAGGCAAAGATACAACAGGAAACAGAATAATAAAAAACAGGAAAATAGAAGCACCATCTGCTAAAATAAAACAGAAGAGCTGAAATGTTAAAATGAGTCGGTGTGAACTCAGCAGATCACATTTCAGAAGTTTCACTATCTAGTTGAGTTTTTAAATATTAAAAATCATCTGTACAAATCAAAAATTAAGATAAAATCTTTAATAAGATGATAAAGGAGTGACAGTTCAGTTCTTACCAGTAGTGAATGTAGAGATCAGTAAGATCAGGATACAGAGAGCAGAACTGCAGGACTGCATGACTGACCTACACACACACACACACACACAGCATTAGTACTGACCAGGAGAGGAGAGAGAAAAGAGAGACAGAGAGAACAGAACTGACCTACAGACACACACACACACACACCATCAGTACTGACCAGGAGAGGAGAGAAAGAAGAGAGACAGAGAGAACAGAACTGACCTACAGACACACACACACACCATCAGTACTGACCAGGAGAGGAGAGAAAGAAGAGAGACAGAGAGAACAGAACTGACCTACAGACACACACAACATCAGTACTGACAAGGAGAGGAGAGAGAAGAGAGAAAGAGAGAACAGAAGGTTTTGGAGGTTTAGTCTAGTTAGGATGTTTGTGTGATACTGTTTTCTTATCTCGAGTTAATGAGGAGATTATGAAGTTTGGAACTCTCATTCTGGAATAGCTACTGAACTAAATTCAGTCCTAACTAAAGTTGTCAGGGTGACGAAACAGATAGGATAAGATTTCAGACTTAGGAAGTTTCTGTAATACGGCCCCAGAGCTCAGCTGGACAGCAGAGAGTCCACAAACTGCAGCAGCTCTCTGAGTTCATAGAGACTAATGAGTATCAGTGAGTGTGCTGGAGATTTACTCCACTATATTCACTGATACAGTAAATCTGTACAGTGGAAATGCTGAAATATTACAGATGTTACTCAGACTGGTGGGTTTGCTCCTCCTGACAGTGGTCTCAGCTCAAGGCTTTGTTTTGTAGACTTGTGTATAGACGTGTGGAAAGAGGAAGTGAATGCAGAACCGACTGCGCTGCTTGAGGTTTTTAAAAAGAAAGTGTGCTGTGACGCAGCCAGTAAACAACCTGCTAATCTCACATTTCTTAATATTTCTCCTTAATACAGAAGCTCATCACTCTGTTCCAGCACACATTTAATAAAACTGTTGTATCAATCACAATAAATTACATTAATTCTGTCTGTCAATCAGCTGATGATGTCAAATAAACCACTCAGTCTTTCTGAAACAGCCATTTAACAAAAGAGCTTCAGATCAGCCATAAACTCCAAACAGAAACAGAAACAGAGAATCTCCAAACACACTTCAGCTCTGAGCTCTGAGTTGTACTCACCGCTCTCTCTCTCTCGCTCTCTCTCTCTCTTTCTCTCTCTCTCGCTCTCTCTCTCTCTCTCTCTCTGCTGGAGTTTCTGCAGGGAAATCAATCCTGTTTATTATCATAATATCAGAAATACGACAGAATCGTACAGCTGATGTGCTGATCACTTCCTCCTGCACTGATGCACTTTAAAGCTTTTGATTTGATCTTCAGTAAACAGGAACAGGGGGCGGGGCTTAAGAACAGGTAATTTTACTCTAGTTCATAGGATTGGTTTGGGGCATCATCCCCCAGATTTTTTCTTCAATTAACCTGTAAAATGTGCAGTTGAGAATCTACAATAATGATGATTATATCTTACAAGCAAAATCATAAAAAATCATTAAAGTCACACTTAAATAAAGGATTCCATCTGGGTAACTTGTGAGTGTCCTGATAAACACTGTCAGAGGCCTGCAGGGTGACCTGAGTCTGACACACCCTACAAAACATTTTTACAAACAAATGTGATATTTTTAATTTTTTTTTTAAATGTCGTAAATTTACCTTTTCACTCACTCTCTGTCTCTCTGAGTTTGAGGAGTGGGTCAACATGCCCCTGGGTAATTTTATAATGTTTAGGGCAGGTTATGAATATTCAGGGCTACAGCACCAGAAACCCATGCAAGGTGACACCCCTGATCACAACTGTAATCAATACTTATGATAGAGCGAAATCATAAATCATAACTTAGGTTAGAAAAATACAAAAACACTCTATTATACACTCCTTTATAAGTCTGGATGAGTCATCCTAAAATTTAGAAACATATGAAAAATACCCCTTCGTAATTTCTGTGATGTGTTATATTACAGGAACAAGAAAAAAAAGAGAGCGAGAGAGAGAGAGAAAGAGAAAGAGAGAGACAGTGTAACAGTGGAGGAGAGGAGGTGGGATGCAAATGCGAGTTGCTTTTATTCAAATTAAAGCTAACTGAGTCCAGAAACTGAGAAGCAGAAGTTTAAAAAAAAAAACACATATCCATGACAAAAACAAACTACAAGACAAACAAAAACAAGTGGCAGTAATATCCACAGGGTTACATCCACAATGTAAGACAGAGACTGAACAAACACAGGGGTTTAAATACACAGAGGGGAAACGTGAAACACCTGGGACTAATGAGGGGCGGAGCTACAGGCAGGTGGAACAGATAACAAGAGGGCAGGACCAGGGAGGAGACACAGAACAACAAAAGCACATGGCTACATACTCAGCTGTCACTGTGTCTTAAGATGTCTTAAGATGTCTTGACAGTATTTATAAGATGTCTTGAGACATTTTTTTATGCCAAGACGTCTCAAGAACGTCTTAAGACGTATGAGTGAAGACACTGTCTTTGTCTTGAGACATGAAAGTTAATGTCTTAAGACAAAGAAGTAATTATTTTGTGTGTCTTGAAGACGAGGCATGACTTAAGACATCACCTTGTCTTAAGACATAGAGATGTTGTGTCTTAAGACAGTTCAGTTGAGACCAAAGAGTGGTCCATTACAAAAGGTCCTGTGGTATGAGTGTGGTATTCCCGTGATACTGCCAAACTGAAAATTACTACTGAGGATTACCACAGCACTGCCTAATGTACAATATAATGAGAACATAACAACATAAGAGAGAATATAAGTATGTCCTCAAGAAGCAGCCTGCTGTAATCTTATGGTTTTTGTGTGATATTACTAAAAGAACATTCACTAAAGGTTTTACTTGCTGTACTTTTGTGATTCTTTTTTTTTTTTGTATGTTTTGTTTTTTGATTATTGCAGAAATGTGTTTACAGTGGCAAAATAGCAAAAGAAAAAATCAATTCTTAAACCATTTACCTCACCTTAAAATGTTTAAACTCATTTCCTTATATCATTGAAGTTCATGGTACAATAACTTTTAATTTGTAACATTTACCAAAGGAGATAATCACAGTCAGTCACAGTCTTTTGCTCATTTGCAGAAAACATGCTATGATTAAAACAACATTGATCTATTTTCAAATGTACAACTGTAACCAGAGACAACAAGCTAGGAACCAAGATAAAACAACTTTGAGCTAATAGGAAGTAAATGTACTTAACAGCTAACCTGAGTACTTTAGAGATCTCATACCACCAAAACTTAATGCAGAGAAGCACTTGGTTCACTCTCTTCATCATCTATTGATGATGTATTGTATTGTTTCACCACGTAAAATTACATCATAAACAGATTTTTGTTTAAATGTCCAACTTCATACTTTGACTTTAATGTTTTAAGACATGGCCTCCAGTGATGCTGTATGATAATGCTGCACAGCTGTCTTATGTATTTCAAGAGTTTGCAGTTTTCTATTCTGTGTCTAGATTAAAACAAACAAACAAACAAACAAACAAACAAAACAGCACAGTTCATTCAGTACAGAGAGGCGCGAACCGGAAAAACAGATCTATGGGAGGACAAACAAAAGACTGGCGGGAGTTTAGACCAATCAGAGCGCGGGACTCCGCCGCTTGGACGTTCGGTTTTGAAGCGCGAGCGCCGTTCCTCCGTTTAAAGCCAAGCGCGACCGTTACAGCCGTTTACAGTGAGCGAGTCTCTCAGGTCGCTACCGCGGGCAGTTTATCGAGTTTGTTTAGCGAGTGTTAAACCTCGATAAGACTCTCTTACACTCCTTACTGAGACAGCGCCGCCTGCCGGGTGACGCGTTCAGCTCCACAAACGAGGAGTTTCAGCTGCGTAGCTGACTAACGATAACTACTGACTGGACCGAGTGGAGTGGAGACTGGTTTTACGACTGGAGTCCCGACTGCAGCGGTCAGAGTCTGCTTTTAAAAGGTGAGTAGTGACCGAATGAGATAAGCAGCCTCACTGACAGTCAGCTGGAGTAACTTTTCTGTATTTCTGGGTCGATCTGCCGAGTGAAAACACCAGCGGTAGGTTAGCGTTAGCTAGCTAGCGGCTAAGCGGCGTGTCTGTTTACGCCTCGCGGCTGCGTCAGATCTCGCTTAGCACGCGCTCCAAATGAAAGACTGCCTCAGAAATAAACCTAAGACTGATCACAGCGCAGCAGGGTCAGCACACTGATCACAGCGCAGCAGGGTCAGCGCACTGATCAACAGCGCAGCAGGGTCAGCGCACTGATCAACAGCGCAGCAGGGTCAGCGCACTGATCACAGCGCAGCAGGGTCAGCACACTGATCACAGTGCAGCAGGGTCAGCGCACTGATCACAGCGCAGCAGGGTCAGCGCACTGATCAACAGCGCAGCAGGGTCAGCGCACTGATCACAGCGCAGCAGGGTCAGCGCACTGATCAACAGCGCAGCAGGGTCAGCGCACTGATCACAGCGCAGCAGGGTCAGCGCACTGATCACAGCACAGCAGGGTCAGCACACTGATCACAGGGTCAGCACACTGATCACAGTGCAGCAGGGTCAGCACACTGATCACAGCGCAGCAGGGTCAGCACACTGATCACAGGGTCAGCACACTGATCACAGTGCAGCAGGGTCAGCACACTGATCACAGCGCAGCAGGGTCAGCACACTGATCACAGGGTCAGCACACATCACAGTGCAGCAGGGTCAGCACACTGATCACAGTGCAGCAGGGTCAGCGCACTGATCACAGCGCAGCAGGGTCAGCGCACTGATCACAGCGCAGCAGGGTCAGCGCACTGATCACAGCGCAGCAGGGTCAGCGCACTGATCACACGGTCAGCACACTGATGACAGTGCAGCAGTGTCAGCACACTGATCACAGGGTCAGCACACTGATGACAGTGCAGCAGGGTCAGCACACTGATCACAGGGTCAGCACACTGATCACAGCGCAGCAGGGTCAGCACACTGATCACAGTGCAGCAGGGTCAGCGCACTGATCACAGCGCAGCAGGGTCAGCGCACTGATCACAGCGCAGCAGGGTCAGCGCACTGATCACAGCGCAGCAGGGTCAGCGCACTGATCACACGGTCAGCACACTGATCACAGTGCAGCAGGGTCAGCACACTGATCACAGTGCAGCAGGGTCAGCACACTGATCACAGCGCAGCAGGGTCAGCACACTGATCACAGGGTCAGCACACATCACAGTGCAGCAGGGTCAGCACACTGATCACAGCGCAGCAGGGTCAGCGCACTGATCACAGCGCAGCAGGGTCAGCGCACTGATCACAGCGCAGCAGGGTCAGCGCATTGATCACACGGTCAGCACACTGATGACAGTGCAGCAGGGTCAGCACACTGATCACAGGGTCAGCACACTGATGACAGTGCAGCAGGGTCAGCACACTGATCACAGGGTCAGCACACTGATCACAGCGCAGTAGGGTCAGCACACTGATCACAGTGCAGCAGGGTCAGCGCACTGATCACAGCGCAGCAGGGTCAGCGCACTGATCACAGCGCAGCAGGGTCAGCGCACTGATCACACGGTCAGCACACTGATCACAGTGCAGCAGGGTCAGCGCACTGAACACAGTGCAGCAGGGTCAGCGCACTGATCACAGCGCAGCAGGGTCAGCGCACTGATCAACACTGCAGCATGGTCAGCGCACTGATCACAGTGCAGCAGGGTCAGCACACTAATCAACACTGCAGCAGGGTCAGCGCACTGATCACAGTGCAGCAGGGTCAGCACACTGATCACAGGGTCAGCACACTGATCACAGCGCAGTAGGGTCAGCACACTGATCACAGTGCAGCAGGGTCAGCGCACTGATCACAGCGCAGCAGGGTCAGCGCACTGATCACAGCGCAGCAGGGTCAGCGCACTGATCACACGGTCAGCACACTGATCACAGTGCAGCAGGGTCAGCACACTGATCACAGTGCAGCAGGGTCAGCACACTGATCACAGCGCAGCAGGGTCAGCACACTGATCACAGGGTCAGCACACATCACAGTGCAGCAGGGTCAGCACACTGATCACAGTGCAGCAGGGTCAGCGCACTGATCACAGCGCAGCAGGGTCAGCGCACTGATCACAGCGCAGCAGGGTCAGCGCACTGATCACACGGTCAGCACACTGATCACAGTGCAGCAGGGTCAGCACACTGATCACAGGGTCAGCACACTGATCACAGTGCAGCAGGGTCAGCACACTGATCACAGGGTCAGCACACTGATCACAGTGCAGCAGGGTCAGCACACTGATCACAGCGCAGCAGGGTCAGCACACTGATCACAGGCTCAGCACACTGATCACAGTGCAGCAGGGTCAGCACACTGATCACAGTGCAGCAGGGTCAGCACACTGATCACAGCGCAGCAGGGTCAGCGCACTGAACACAGTGCAGCAATGTCAGCGCACTGATCACAGCGCGGCAGGGTCAGCGCACTGATCAACACTGCAGCATGGTCAGCGCACTGATCACAGTGCAGCAGGGTCAGCACACTAATCAACACTGCAGCAGGGTCAGCGCACTGATCACAGCGCAGCAGGGTCAGCGCACTGATCAACACTGCAGCAGGGTCAGCGCACTGATCACAGTGCAGCAGGGTCAGCGCACTGAACAATACAGCAATGAGACTGAACATAGTCCGTCAGTCTGTGTGGTTCAGAGAGGGTAGTAATAATTTTAATTTGCTCAGTTACATTTACTCTAGTAACGTCTTGGTGGATTTGTACTTTCTAGAGTATTTTTAAAATGTATTATCTGTGCTTTAGATTAATAATCTATGTTTTACTCGGCTACATTTATTAGTAATATATAATGACCAGTTTGTTTTGTGTTTTCATTGTTATGCTTTGCTGTTATTGTTTTGCTGCATTTACCTCATGTGTCTGTTTTGTTTTAGATGTTTCTCATCAGAAATCATCTGAAGCTGAGCAACTGGTGAGACTCAAGTTTTAATTTTTTAAATGAAACTATAAGAATGTGAGACAGATGTTTAGATTTGGTGGGTATTTCAAACAAATATAATTCATGAAGTATTTATGGTAATACAGAAGAGCAGAATGTTTAGGTAAAGCTGGGTTAGAGTATTCAAATATCTGCACTTTATTAATTCAACTTATTAATTTGTTATTTGCCATTACAGCTGTGTTCAAAATATCGATATGGCAATATCACCAACACTGTGTCAATATTTATGAATTTACTTCTTCATAGTGCTTTAATGTGTAATACTGCAAGTCTCAGAGCCCTTCAATTCATAGCATAAAGCATGTGGTAAACATGCTGTAATAGAGTTCAGCTCTTATTAATAATCATTTCATGTAATAATTCTCTGTGAGAGATTAGAGGCATTGAACTCTTCAAACGCCTGGTTCTTGTCACTGCCACTATGAACAACTCTGACTCTGTAGGTTTTTCCACAATGGAACATTTTATATCAAACTATTTTTTTGCATCTTAATGATGAAATTGTGCTTAAAATTGTGTAATTCTCCTTTAACACAGCTTTTAACAGATACAGATATCAGTACTAAGCTCACACCTGCCTCAACTGCAAATGGTCATTTCTGTCACGTGTTGACTGAGGCATGTTAGAGGATGAAAACAATAGAATTGTGAATTATCTAATCAACTTTGTTGTTTTCAGTCCTTCCCAAGGAACATCCTCTCTTTGGGCCTCATCCAGTATAGTGGCAGTCCATATCTCTCTCAACACTCCACTGTGCTCTTACCCAAGTGGCCTCATCCTGATGCTTCTTTCATCACACTGAACATCATTGTCTGAACATCAGCTATGCGTGTGAGCTGGGTGCCACGCTGGAGTTCATGCATAGGTAATATTTAAAGCCTTGTCACATTTCTTTGTGTATTAAATGCCTGAGTTGATTTTAGATGAGTAAAATTATGTATACTGTACATTATATTCTACTTATAAAGGGAATATATAATGCTTTCCCTTTTATTTACTGTGTTATGTAGCTTTTTGTGCATGTAAGATTCAAAGCTGAAAGTATATGCCAGAGGGAGAAACTCTTTCCCACAGAAACCACTTTTCTCAGCTGCCTGAGTTCCCCAGCCCTTTTCCTTTGTTACAAGATGATGTAATCCCATAACACAATCCTTATTGCCCACCTACCAGAGAGCTTGGCACGCCCTCACACAACGCAACGCATCTGCCGGAGCCCGTGTATTGGCGGAACCGCTCTGGCGCTTGATCAGTCAGAGCCAAGTGAGCGAGCTAACTAATCTGAGCATACTGGGCTCATCAGGAAGGAGGGGCTTAAAGACACAGGATCTCTAACAGAGCATTTCAGACAGAGGGTGAGTAAACAATTACAGTATGACAAAAAATAATGTGTTTCTGGAACACTGAAGCATGTAAATGTATTATAGTCGACCCCAAAAATAAATTTATGAACATTGGAAATTAGCATAACAGGTCCCCTTTAAATTCAGCCTGCTTGTGTATGCAGATCCAAAAGTAATTTCAAATTTATTGTCTTAAAATTGATTTTTTAACAGATGCATTTTCCTCATATCTCTGACAAAGAAGACCAACACTGAGAAAAAACAGAGGAAGAGGCGATGGGCTGTGAATCTGACAGTTCTCTCACTCATCACGGATTTAACTCTGAAAGGAGAGATCGGTAACATTAGCAGTGTGATATCAGTAATGTTAGTGCTCAGGCATTATGGCATGGACATATGCACACTGAGTTATCTGTGTCCTGTTTCCTGTGTCCACGTATGTCCACAGCTTGGCTCTATTCCAGCTACCAGCACATCTGAGTCTGGTATTAATTGTTTGACAGCTGATCATTATCTGGCTGAGGTATGTTATGAGTGCTGCTGGGGTTCAGACCTCTGTATTACTCTGTTGGTCAGTTTTTCTTTTTAGTCCATATTAATTGGTCTTAAAATTGTTTCCTATCATTTATAATTGTTCATAGTACTATATTGTTAATAACCTCAGCATAACTTATATACGGAATAACAGCAGACCTTAAATCAGATTCATTGGTCGGAACTGTGTATTTATTGCAGTATATTTCAAATTTCTACACAAAGTCAGTGAACATGTTTTTCTCTTTCTGTAGAACATATCAAGTGTGATGACGCTATTGTACTGTGCATATACACAGTTGTAAAAACAATAAACAATAACTGTAATTATATTTTTTGAAAGCTATGTGGGTGCTTTTTCATGGGCTATGCTTTGGATTGCAGAGTGAATTATTTGAATGTAGAAGTATTCTGAATTTTTAACAGATTAACAAGGAAATACAAAACTGTAAAATAGTGATTTTCCATACCCCTTTAAATTACTTTACTGTAATTTATGCATACTTATTATTGTTCTTGTTCTCCTTATTATTATTTTAAAAGTTGATAAAATGATAGCTTCATTAAAAAATGAAGCAACTGTAAAATAGTCTGTAAAAAAATGTATTTAACACATTTTACAACATTTTTAAAACATTAAGGGTTAATTACTATAAAAATGGATTTAAAACTGAATTAAATTTTTAAATTTTGCTGCAACACTGTATTACAAAATAGTTGCATAAGAGTCCCTCATACTACCACCATGTTGAAGGCATGGTATGAACTCACAAATAAACTTTCATCATATCACTGATTCCATAAACCTTTCTAATGCAACAGAAACATTTAAAGGGGAATTCCACATTTTTCTAAACTAGGCATAATTCTGTCATTGCGATGTAAACAAAATCATTTAGTGGTTTCATATAAAATGGCTTATTGTAGAGAAAGCTACAGACTGGGAACCATGTGCCTATTATTATTACTTTTGTTGTTAAATTTGTTCTGAAATGTATAAATGTAGTATGTACTAATGTATGTAATGTTTGTATGTTTATAAAATGATATGCAATATATTAAAATAAATTGTAGAACAAAAAAATGAAAAAAAAAAGACTATAATTTTAGCTATAAATAATGTTACATTTTAAAATTCCCTTAAAATATTTAAAAGTAAAAGATTTATTTAAAAAAATGTAGGTAAAATTTAAAAATACGTATTATACATCCTACATCTTGAGACGTCTTGAGATGTTATTATTGCCAAGACATCTTAAGATCCGTGTCTATAGACACGTCTTAAAGACATGTCTTCATGTCTTAAGACATGCCTCAAGATGTCCTAAGATGTCTTCATAATGTGTCTTTAGACATGTCTTAAGACATTTCAAGACATGGTAGCGGCTGGGTATGTACCACTGAGGGGAAGAAACAGTCACACTCAGAGGGACAAAGGGAGAATCTGTGACAGAGAGAGAAAGAGAGAGAGTGGCATAAACTTTCCCAGGGAGTTGGCATACACCCTCCGGCCCCCTTTCTTAAAAATAGGGACCACCACCCCGTTCTGCCAGTCCAAGGGTACTGTTCTATCCATGCAGTATTGCAGAGGCGCATCAGCCATGACAGCCGCACAACATCCAGAGCCTTAAGCATTTCCAGGCGAAGCTCATCCACCCCTGGTGCCTTGCCAGCGAGGAGCTTGCCAACTACCTTAGTGACCTCCACCAGGGACATTAGGAGCCTGACACACCAGAAGCCTCTGGCCCTGACTCCTGTGAGGGAGGCATGTCTCTTGGATTAGGGAGTTCCTCAAAGTGCCTCTTCCACCGACCAACAATATCCTTATTAGAAGTCAGAGTTTCTTCACCCCTGCCGAATTCAGCTTGGACAAAGCCACCCCAACCGCTTCTGAGTTGCCAGATAGTTGTCCAGAACCTCCTTGAAGCCGACTGAAAGTCTTTTTCCATGGCCTGGCCGAACTCCCCCCACGCCCTGGATTTTGCTTCTGCCACCGTTGCTGCTGCTGCCTTTTTTGCCTGTCCAGTCCCTAAAGGCCTCTTTCTTTGGGTTACCGCTCTGACAGGCACAAACAAGCTTTTGGCCACAACTGTGCCTAACAGCTTCCACGATGGAAGTTTTGAACAGGGCCCATTCAGACTCCATGTCCCCTACCTTCTCCGGAACATGACAAAAGCTCTCCTGAAGGTGGGAGTTAAAATCATTCCGAACAGGGGCCTCTGACAGTCGTTCCCAGCACACCCTCACTATTCGCTTGGGCCTACTGGGTCTCACCATCAGTCTTCCCTGCCATCTGATCCAACTCAACACCAGATGGTGATCGGTTGACAACTCAGCACCTCTCTTCACCCGAGTGTCCAGAACACATGGTCCCAAGTCAGATGGGACCCTTGCACTAAGGCCCCTAAAATCACTCCATACCCCAGTGTAACTTTTAGGATTTTAGGAAACACCAGCCTGTATTGACAAATATAACACTGATGTTCTGAGTAACATTGCTGTGTTTGAGTGATGAATAAATGAACAATGAATCACATTCAGTTTTAAAGCTTCAACATTCACATTCATGATTACACATATTTAATAGCTGATCTTATCCAGAATGCTGTGCTTTACTGTTTACTTAAAACAAATCTTTAAGCTAGTGTTCACAGGCCAGTAATCAAAGATGGAAATTACTAATATTTTCCAACCCTATTAAGAACTAAAGAGCCACTCCAGAGTGACTCCAATACAGTATCATAATTTATTAATTTTGCCCCAAGAACAAATCAGATATTCTGTAAATGCTGCTTTGTCCTGTACATCATTAGGTGGTGCCCCTCAGAGTGTTCTTGTGCCCTTCAGCCCCCCATGTCCTGGACACACCACTGAATTGTATGTCTTTGAGAAAGAAAGGGGGTGGGGTGTGTGGGGGGGGTGTTTTAAAAACAATCTATCAGCTGTATTGTTTACTGTACCTGTTAAAATGCTGTGATTGAACCGTTACTTTTTAAAAGCTATTTAAACCTATTTTTATAACTATTTAAAATTAATTTTTTAAACTATTTAAAACCTTTTTAACACTATTTAAAACTTCTCCAACTCAAGAGAGAAAAGATCTTCTGCAGCCAGCAGTGACTGGCTGAGTGTAAACAGGCCACTGACTGACTGAAACTACCTATCATGTCATGCTAACATCTCTAAAGACCTGTTCCTGAACAGAGTCAGTTCAGCCTCATGTAGTGCACTGTGTTAGCTATCATCTCTGAAGAACTTCAGGCTGTTTTAAACTCAGTTCATTTCCTAATGTCCAAACCAGAGTTTGGGTTTTTGTGATTTTGTTTTTCATTTGGTTCAGGTTTTTTCACACTGCAGCAGCTAAAGTGGACCAAATTAGACATGCAGGTGTTTGTCAGAAGTGTTGCAGGGATGGACGCCCTCTACTCTGAGATGTTCCACCATGAAAGCAGATGTAGCGCCCCCACCAGGTACTTAACTGAACAACAAGGGCCTAAAGGTGTTTAACATTTAACCCTGAACTAGTAGCATGGGAGGTACAGGGTTGGTCCTACAAATATAGAAATTCAACTGGCTTATTTGCTAGGGTGATATCTCCCTGGAGGTTCAGAAATGTAGCCAGTCAATTAAAGCTACCCAAAACTCCCATGCACAGATACTTTACTCTTAGTCTACTTCCTCTCACAGCACCCAATCACACTCAAAGTTTCCAAAATGGGATACGAGAATACACTGCATGCTGTGAAGCTCAATCTAGTGATTAGAGCAATTCTGTTTAACACCTACACCCTACACAAGCATTAACTCCTAATACAGGTGTTGAATATACACTTATGACTTTCCATGAACTGCAGAAACACATGAAAATTTGCTGTGACAATAAAACCACAATTTATATATGTCTGAAACACAATTTTAATTTCCTTTTGATCCTATATTTGAATTATTAATTAGTCTTTCCCTTAAACTAGAAATCAGTTTTTGTAGCTAGGGGACTTTGACTTAAATTCAACCAACAACCTTTCCCACAAGTTTAAACAATGGTTTTACAGGGCACTTAGTTTGTTTTCAGAAAGGGAAAAGACATTATAAAACCCCAAATAAATATTTATCCATTTTACTCATCATAGAACATGAACTTAACACTGCATTTTTCTCCTTTATATGACAAGAACCCCCCCCCCACCAGGTGTGTGATGTGATCTGGGACAGCCCCCAGTTTAAGCCCTCCCACATCATTACTCACATAAGAACTGTAATTTAATAATGTGCTTCAGGTGTGTTTCTCCTTCTCTGCGAAGTCTGAGACCCTCTGTGTGGAGAGTATTATACTACAGTCCAGTGTGGGGAATCAGCCACAGCAGCACAGTGAGTACACAGAGACTGTTGTAGCTTCATAGACTTAAAATAACTACTGAGCTGTGACCAGAGGGGCCGTCTAGCCTCGCCTCGTCTGGGCTTCCAGGGCTACAGACTCAACATTTTAATATTTTTAAGCAGCTCTGAACCTGTGAAATAATTCTTTCAGGGTTAGATGTATGGCAGGTGGTCTTTGGGGAGGGTCCCCCAGTAGAGAGCCTGACTATGAGATGAACTCTGTGCTGATTTATGTTGTAGTTTTGGGAGGTTTACCCCTGTAGTGTTTTCAGTAGCGTTACGAGGCAAGAGTCAGTGGTGTAACTACTGGAATGGCAGGGGAGGCAATAAATCAAGAGAAAAGAAGATCATTACAGTGATCAACTCAAACATAGCAACAAGTTTCTCTGCGTCGCTCTGAGAGAGAAGAGGCTGAACTTTAGGGATTTTTCTCAAATTATAAAAAAGCTACTTTATTGTCTGTGTTTACATGCAGATAAAACAGAGCTCAGAGTCTGAAATCACAACCAGGTTTCATACTTCAGGTTTGGTGTACGAAGCTAAAGAACCAAGTTTCTCAGAAATAATTTTTCTCTGTACCAACGATCAGTATTTCAGTTTTTTCATGATTTAATTGTAGAAAATGTTGCGACATCCACCGAGAAACATCTGACACACAGCTGGTCAGTCTATCTACAGAGTCTTGATCTTCAGAAGGAATAGAAATGTATAGCTGGGTGTCATCAGCATAGCTATGAAAATTGATGTTTTCTAATGACATCACCTAAAGCTAGCATGTACAAAGAGAAAAGGAAAGGCCCTAAAACTGAACCTTGTGGGACTCCACAAAACAATTTCACATTTTTGATTAATGATTTCCCAGTGAAACTTCATTAAATATAATTTTAACCATCCTAAAACTCTGCCCGAGAGGCCGACCCAGCATTCAACATGGGGGATTAGAATCTTGTGATCAACGATATCAAAAGCTGGACTAAGATCCAATAGGACCAGAATAGAAGGACTTTGAGCACTGAGCCTCATTAAGAACCTGGACCAATGCTGTCTCAGTACTGTAGTCAGAACGACAACCTGATTGAAACTTCTCATTTAACTTGTTTGATACTAGATCCACATTTTTTTCTAGGACTATCCTTAAAAAAGGAAGGTCTGAAGTTGGTCTAATTATATTTAGGACAGAAGAATCCATACTACTCTTTTTCAGTAGGGCTTAATCAGGGCAGTTCTAAAAGCGTCTTGAAAAGCACCTCTTGACAGAGAACAGTTTATAATAATTAAAACATCATCTTGAACATAATCAAAACAGGTAAGGATGTCAGAACTGATGTAGGTGGCCTATCAGGAACTTGTTTCAGCAGCCTGAGCTCTGCTCTGCCTTCTCAAGGCTGTTTTATTTTGAAAACGAATTGCAGAATTGCAGATTATATAGGATAAAGTACCACGATATAGAAGATAAATTACCATTGTTCTTTGAGAAGGTCATAATGTTCCTGCAGTTTAGTTTTCCTCCATACATGCTCTGAATGATGACAGTTTCTCTTGAGCTAGCTGCAGGTGAAAGTGTAAGGGGTCCATTCCCCGCCTGGGTGACCAGCGTTCTTCATGTGTGGAGTTTGCATGTTCTCCCCGTGTCTGAGTGAGTTTCCTTCCAGAGTCCAAAGACAGGCGGTCAGGAGAATTTGACATACTAAATTGCCTCTAGGTGTGTGTGTGACTGCATATATCTGTGTGTCTGCTCTGTGATGGACTGGCGATCTGTCCAAGGTGTTTCCTGCTCTCCACCCAATGAGCACCAGGATAGGCTCCAGCTCCCCCCACGACCCAGGAGGAGCTATTAAGAAATTAAGCCACAAGAACTAGAAAAATCCTAGCTAACTAGGATTTAGCTAGCTAACTACTGTCTTGTACATATATTTACTGTAAAAATCATCAGACATTACAGTTTTATGCTGGAACTCCTAAATTATGAACCACAATCTCTTCAGCCCTGATATTCTGTCCTTCTTTAACACTCAGATTAAAACCTTCCTCTTTTCTCAGAGCTACTCAAAGCTGCAGCTCATTCTCTTCTCTTGTTCTGTCTCCACTAGTTGCTGCTGATATGGTTTTGTTTATATTTTATTCTATTTAAATATTTATTTGATTGTGATGCTTCTGTAAAGCTTCTGCACAGCACTGTGTACAATGAAGTAAATATAAACTGAAACTAAAGTCAAATGAAACATATAAATTGTATTTATAAGTTAATCAAATGTACACCTAAATATTTCTTTCACTGTTTCTTTCTTTATACTTGAGTCCTTTGTATGGTAAAAGTGCATTAAACCAAGTTAAGCTGCAGATGTGAAGAAAATAAAATAATATGCTGTATTTCCTGTTGATGTTGGCTGGTTATCTTGTGTGCTACCTAGGTTAACTTCACTTGGGTCGATGTAAGATCACGCTGTACCCGTACACACTCAGACAAAGTTCCATTTTTGCGTTTTTATGGTTCTTTATTGTCTTCAAATGTGTAAATGAGTAAATATTTGTTCTTTGTTATTAGCATATTTGCTAATATTGTTAGTTACCTGGCTATATAGTTATTTTCAAGAATATTCAATATTCAGTGTAATAGATTATGTAGCGAGAGTAAAAACACAGCATTAGCCAGTGAGAGCTTACAGAAAGCTCGGTAAGAGAGAGGCCTGAGAAACAAGCAGAGGCAAGTACAGAATTTAGCGAGGGCGGGGCTGAGCAGTTTCAAAGCGCAGTTTGTGCAAACACTTCTGGAAGAGTTCATATGAGGATTTTCATCATTATAGTAGAGTTCATTTCAGTCCTGTCTAAGATCAAAGTTACATGCGATAGATGATGAACCTTCCTGTCAGCATGTCCATCATCTGCTCAGCGCTGTGGAGACACAGGATAAAACACACAATACAGAATGAATCCAGATGTTTAGAACCAAAAGATATTGCGATGTACAAAATTGTGCTGTAATATCATATTTAAAGCCAGCAATGGTTTAAGACATCTCTGGATTTGTGACCTGAGGTGCCCCCTTTCATTCCTATTGTCTTTACTGTCTTGAGCCTATATTCTGTTTAGGCTTAAGACAGTAAAGTCTTGTTTTTCAGTATAAGCTGATTAAGTTAAAAATTACATATTAAATAACACTGAGCCTTAACTTTAGATAATAAACTAGATTGCAGCATGCGTTGAAATGTAAGATTCCAGCCATATGTGCCTTCCTGCTGGTGTGGGTCTCCTCGCACTCAACAATGCAGAAAACCACTTCTTAAGTGCTAACAATGCCCTCTTGAGGGGAATCTGAGAAATTCTCAACACATTTCACAAAATTAACATCAAAGAACAAACTTTTTACACACTGCTTGTTTTTTACAGTTAAAATGATAATTTGTTCAGTTTATAGAGATTTAAACTTTTTAGAAGTATGTTTGCATCTCAGCGCTAAAACATTTTTGTGCTTTATCACTTGCAATGTTTATAGCACCAGTGCTACATGCTCCAAAGTTTATGTAAAACCCTGATTATAGAGGTTATTGTAATATTGTGGTATGCTGTATGCAGATTTTTTTCAGAGCTTTCCATTTTCCATTCCACTTTAAACTGTCCAGCACTTTAAAGGTGCCAGAATTTAACAGTTGCACCAAATTCAAAAAATAAGCTGGCAGAAAAGGAAGCCAACTTCAGCCTGTCTGTCCCACAGTGGTGTGTTTGTGACTCATACAAGAAGTAATTTGGTCACACTGTTAGCCATTGAAGAGCACTTCAACTCTTCTGACCCCCAGCATATGTGGCAAGGCATACAGTCAATTACTGACTTAAAACCACCCACCACTGTGCCCCCTACCAACTGTGCCTCACTTCCCAATGAGCTCAACACTTCTATGCTCGGTTCAACAAGGGAAATAAGGTGGTCTTCTCCAAAACAGATTAACCACCTGATGAGCAGCCACTCACACTCTCCACCGCGGATGTCTGTCACACTCTGAGCAAGGTGAATGCCCGAAAGGCAGCTGGCCCTGATGGAGTACCTGGTCGTGTGCTAAAGGTCTGTGCTAAGCAGCTAGCTGGGGTCTTCACAGATGTTTTCAATCTGTTGCTGGCCCAGGCAGTTGTCCCAACTAGCTTCAAGACCACCACCATTGTGCCAGTCCCAAAGCATTCGACTGCTTCAGCTCCGAATGATTTCTGCCATGTTGTACTCACCTACATCATCTCCAAGTGCTTTGAAAGACTAGTTCTTTCTCATTTGAAGTCCTGTCTGCCTGTTACACTGGACCCACACCAGTTTGCCTACCGCTGCAACAGGTCAAAAGAGGACTCCATTTCCATGGCACTCCACACTGTACTGACCCACCTGGACTGTCAGAACTCATATGTTAGAATGCTGTTTATTGACTTCAATTCAGCATTTAACACAGATACCCTCCAAGCTGATCTTAAAGCTTAGCCAGCTTGGTATCTGCACATTTCTCTGCAATCGGTTTCTGGACTTCCTGACTGACAGACCTTGTCAGAAGACAAACTCTTCTCCTCCCCCATCACCCTGAACACTGGCGTGCCACAAGGCTGTGTGCTCTTCTGTACTCCCTGTTCACGCATGACTGTGTTCCTGTTTATGGCAGGAACACTCCATAATCAAGTTCGCGGATGACACCACATTGATAGGTCTGATCAGTGGAGATGATGAGACGGCCTACAGGGATGAGGTGCAGCATATACAGGACGAGGAAAACATATACCATAAGCGCTGCCTTCGCAGGGTGAGTAACATCATAAAGGACGTTTCTCATCGTAACCATGGACCTTTTACCCTCCTCCGATCTGGCAGGCGTTACAGAAGCTTCCGCTCCTGCACCAGCAGGCTCAGGAAGAGCTTCTTCCCTGAGGCTGTGACCCTGCTGACCTCCACACTGTCACTTTAACTGCATCTTTGCACTCACTGCATTGTATTGTACTTTATCCTAGTACAGGGAGATTCACTCGAAAGAGGCTGTGAATATTCTGTAATAACTCTCTCTAGGATGAAGCAATCTGAATAAAACAACATGCAATGTGCTCCTCAGTATATAGAGCTTTGAACAAGCCGGGATGCCCCTGCGTTGGAGCGATGAGGTCAGCACGGGACAGCCGTTTCGACGTTTAACCTCCGTTTGCAACTTCTGGGTGCTTCCAAGTGATGTCAGAGTGAATTTAGGAAGAAACACGTTTGTGATGTACCCTCAAAGAGTGTTATTCAGGAGATGGCACGGAAACTGGTAACGACGGGATCATTGATCCCTTCTCATGGTGGAGGCCACCCAAAAATGTAATCGATTACACATACGTCAAGATATGTAGCGTATTTTTTGGTTCAGATTGCTTCAACCTAATGCGAGTTACAACAGAATATTTGGGGCCTCTTTCGAGAGAATCTCCCTGTATTATTGCACTATTCATATTTGCACAGTCTATAACTGCACTATTCATATTTGCACCAACAGTTAATGTACAAGTTTACTCTGCATACTTATCTTTTACATATGCTGCTCTCACAGGACATACTACCTCATTGTACGCTTTCCACTCACTCTGTAAAATATGTATATATTATATTTATACTTGCCTATTTTTTTTACCATTCTACCATCCTTCTGCACTTTATATGTAAATAATACTGTATTTTGCACTTCTGGTCAGATGCTAACTTCATTTCATTGGCTCTGTACCTGTACTCTGCACAACAGCAATAAAGTTGAATCTAATCTAATTACACTCACACATACACCTTGACGAAGAAAGATGTGTTCTGATTTCTGATTCACGTTGACACATTAACCTTTTAAGTGGCTGTCTGTTCTTCTCTATACGTTTAGTGTCCAACCTTTAAATATAATAGGAAACACACTGGCCCAAGAATAGAACCCTGTGGCACTGCATTACCAGTTTCCAAGATTGTTTTCCATGGGCAACAACACACTGAGTACCTGCTGCTCAAATCCAATGCAAAGCGTCAGGAACACTACTGCTATCGTAATAAGTTCTCAGTACTCTTTAAAAAGATTTAAAAAGGTTCTTCAATGGTTCTTTAGTAAAGACAGTGGTTCTATTAGAACTATGAAGACTAAAAGAACCATTTGCATGATTAAACGTTTCTTTGCATGGAGAAATGGTTCTACAGATGGATGGAGGATGTGTTGTATATGGTTCTATATAGAACCTTTTTGAAAATGGTTCTATATAGCACCAAAAAGGGTTACACCATTGTTTGCAATGTCAAGCTTGTAACAATAGCAGAACTCTTTTTGGTGCTATATGGAACCAAATACAACACATCACATTCTCCATCAATCTGAATAACCATTTCACTATGAAAAGAACCATCTTTTCCAAAAGTATATAATTCTACAAGTTTAATGTAAGGCAACTCAATTTATTTGACTCAAATAAAGAAGGTTTGAAAAGGTAAAGAAAAAATGACTGGAATCAGAAAATCAGTTTAACAGTCAATATGGCTGCTTGTATTTATGAGTCTTGATCCAGTTTGAATCTAAAAGGAAAACGGTTTAAAACCAATGTGACCATTGTAATTCGTTGACCTTGACAATCAGTGTACTTCCCAATCTCTCCTTGTGAACTGCAAACAAATTTGGTGATGCCATCTTACTGACTGTCTAAATACCAGAAAAGACGGGAGAAGCTGCTCTAAACGTCTGTTGAAATGACTTCAAACTGAGGATACACGAGTATTCACTCCCCAGGAGGTCTTTTACAGATTTTAGAGTCATATTACTGCAAACATGCCCAGACAGGATGGACAAACATGGAGCAGTCCAACTATACTTTAAACTCTGTTTAATTTGCGTATACTGTGTACACTGTGTTCAGAGATGAATCACACACATATTTCTAAAATGTACCATTTACAATACTTATTATTAGTGGCAGTAGTAGTAAAATCATAGTAATACCAATAATAATGTTGATTTTTATATCTTCTAGCACAAACACTGGTATGACACAGGTACCATTCAGCTGATTGAGCAACAGTAAACTTGCCTAGTCTTGTTTCTAATTTTCACTGTATCATCTGTCATTCAGTAAGATTTGTTTTTTCCATTCTTCACAAGATTTTCTTTGACTTCTCTTTAATTCATTCCTTTCCTTTACTTTGCTCCTTTTACCTTTAGCCGTGAGATCTGCACGTGCTAAAAGAACTCAGTGATGATGGACTGATAGAGAGGCTAAAACTCCACTGCAAAGAAGCTGAAGAATGTGTTGGTATTAAAGTCATTACTGATGGCTGTTTAGCATGTGCGCACATGTAGTGACTAACCTTGGGAATGTTCATTTGTTTCAGCATGCTAATGGTGTGTGTGTGTCTGTAGGTCAGTTCTGTTCTCTCTTCTCTCTTTCTCTCTTCTCTCTCTCCTCTCCTGGTCAGTACTGATGGTGTGTGTCTGTAGGTCAGTTCTGTTCTCTCTTCTCTCTTTCTCTCTTCTCTCTCTCCTCTCCTGGTCAGTACTGATGGTGTGTGTCTGTAGGTCAGTTCTGTTCTCTCTTTCTCTCTTTCTCTCTTCTCTCTCTCCTGGTCAGTACTGATGGTGTGTGTGTCTGTAGGTCAGTTCTGTTCTCTCTTTCTCTCTTCTCTCTCTCCTCTCCTGGTCAGTACTGATGGTGTGTGTGTGTGTAGGTCAGTTCTGTTCTCTCTTTCTCTCTTCTCTCTCTCCTCTCCTGGTCAGTACTGATGGTGTGTGTGTCTGTAGGTCAGTTCTGTTCTCTCTTTCTCTCTTCTCTCTCTCCTCTCCTGGTCAGTACTGATGGTGTGTGTGTGTGTAGGTCAGTTCTGTTCTCTCTTTCTCTCTTCTCTCTCTCCTCTCCTGGTCAGTACTGATGGTGTGTGTGTCTGTAGGTCAGTCATGCAGTCCTGTAGTTCTGCTGTTTGTGTTCTGATCTTACTGACAACTACACTCACTACTGGTAAGTACCTCTCCTTTATCACTCCTTTATCCTGCTCTTAAAACATTAATCCTGTATTTTACTTTCACTTCACTTTTGTTTTTGAGAGTTTCTTTAAGCAGTAGCGTCAGAATAAAATAATCTAATGAATATTCTCATTAGCTAGTTAGACATAGAATGATGTGATATGCAGTAAAGAACAGTAATATGATCCTCAGCGTACAGTTTATTAAAGCTTCACTATGTAAAACTGAAAGCAGCGTCATTACTGAGTGAGGATAACATAAACAGGCTAAAATATGGTGAATGAGCTGCTGTGAGTCGCCCTGTAAAGCCTGAAATAATCAGTTAAAAGTCAGAGGTGTTGGGTCGAGAGTTTTTCACACCACGTCATACGTCTTTGCGTACTAACATCACACACAGCCTCAAAAAGAACGTCCGGCTCAATATTTCAATCTTAAATGATAAAAAAAAAAAACACGCTATACTGATAAACTGTTCTCAAACGTCAGATTCATCCCCTCAGGGAAGGGGTCTGAAGCACAACCCACGTTACTAAAAGTTCTTCCACATGTTGGGCCTGCAGTTACACATTTCCACCAGATAGGGTGGTGGAATCCCCAAAACATACACAGTAAATCTTTAACTGTACAAACGTATTTAAAGTCTTCACTTCAGGGATGTGATCTGAGTCTTAGGGGTCACATCTCCCAAGTCTGATTTGATATTTATATTTTGTAGAGGGTATGTAGGACATGCTAGGCTGGCAGAACTAAAATCTTTTGTTTTTGTCTACTGAGACATACTGTCACTGCTGTTTGTCACATTTACAAGTAGAGCACAAGAGGGTAACATGGCCTTTATAAAGCTTTATAAATACTGATCCATTAAAATATGTCTGGATCTGAATCTGAACCTGTGACTTGATGACGTTCAGACATTTACTCTTCTAACAAATAAAAACTCAGTTGTTGACCACTGTTTTTCTTTAGTGAGATGTTTCTATTTTCCCTATTTGTCTTATTCTCTCTTTCAGCTTCTGAATCAGCTGTGAAGGTGAATCTTCATGACTCTGCTACTCTGTCCTGCTCTGAGAGATGCTCTGGTTTGGTCAGATGGACTGTGTTCACTAAACCCACTGATACTCTGGCTGAGTGTGATCAGACTTCATGTAGATCAGTGAAGGAGGGATATCAGATGATCCATGATCAGTACCTGAAGGGGAATCTCTCTCTCACCATCACTGACGCTGATTTCACTAAGAGAGCTCGGTACACCTGTGACTGTGATGGTAAAGATCTCTGTGATATGAAGCTTCAGATTGAGCGTAAGTGTCCATCTGTTTTTTTTTCACTGACCACTTTTCAGGAGTGTCACTTTCAGTTCCTCAAAGAATCTGCAGACGCACCTCCAAAGTTCAGTCTTAGAAGCTGGTTGATCATTTTCTGAAGTAATCAAACACATTCAGTGGTGTTGAGGTCTGGACTCTGGGGTGGTCAGTCCATTGTTCAGCTTCTTTGTTTGATGTGTCCGTCTCCTTTTCTCAGTGAGGCTCTTCTTGATCAGCTACACATCCTTTCAGACCCACAGCGCTGAGTCGTCTTCTCACAGTGGAAGGATGGACAGAAACACCTGTGGATGTTTTCAGATCTGATCAGTTTGATTTTCTCCTCTCTCTCAAAGATGAAGCTTTAAGTGCTGTTTATCTGATGGGGGCAGTTTTGGGGTCGACCAGCTCTTCCAGGTGGTTGTTAGGAAGCACATTTTCTCTGGAGCTTTTAATCAGTTTTTAAATCCAGTTTTGGAAACTCCTGTTTTTTCCACTTTGACTTTCTCTTTCCTTCTGCAAGTGGATTATCTTATAGTCAGTCCTCGCAAAATATTCCTAAAAATGAATCACTTTATTGTAAATTAACTAAATGAGCTTTTGATTTTTGCTCAGTGCTTTGGTTTGCACACAATTCATGAAGGTTCTGTTTGTTTTTTTTTATCCTCAGCCTTGAATACTCCAGTTCAGATAGAGCCTGGTGAATCTCTGGTGCTGAAGTTGGATGTATCAGATCCAGTGGAGGTGATTTATAACAGCACTGATGCAGCTGGACCATCCAGTGGTCAGATTTGTACAGTGGATGGACGATCACTACAGTGTAATGATGAATATAAACAGAGAATGGCATTCTTCTCTGCTCTTGAGCTGAGAGGGATGAAGCCATATGACAGTGGAGATTATATTATAATGGACATTAGGAATGAAGAGGTCATTCATACCTACACAGTGACCATCAAAGGTATGTATTTTTCCAGCTTTAGCTGTGTTTGTTATTGAGCTTGTAGGATGAAAGTGGAGTGTGTAAATATATTTAAAGTCTCTCTGTGTGCTTTAATGGTGGTAATGGTGGTGGTAACTCACTATATGGCAAATCTGTGTGTCCTTCTGTTCTGTAGATGACCAGCCCTGTCCGTGCAGAGATCAGGGAGCTGTTGTACCAGCATGGATGTTTACTCTGACGATGGTTGCACTAGTAGTTGTGTGTGTGGTATCAGTGGTGATGATTTTGCGAAAGAGGAGAGAAATTGAACGGCACTGAATCATAACTGCAGGGAAAATCGAGTTTAACTGAAAGAAAACACTGCCAGAAAACACTGCCAGAAAACACTGCCACTGAAAGAAAACACTGCCATGTTAACTTCTGTTAAAAAGGATGAAGAAGAAATGGGTTATTTGCTGCTTGTATTCAGGAAAACTAAGATCCAATCCAAAGTCTAAGACCAATTATCCAGTCAGCCAATCACATGGCAGTATGAGTCTAGAGGTTCAGTTAACATTCCCCTAAACATCATGAAAGAAGAAATTGTGATCTAAATGACAATTGAAACAGGGAGAAGGAGCGAAAGGAGGATCGGAACAGGGAGAAGGAGAGAAAGGAGGATCAGAACAGGGAGAAGGAGTGAAAGGAGGATCAGAACAGGGAGAAGGAGCGAAAGGAGGATCAGAATAGGATGAAGGAGTGAAAGGAGGATCAGAACAGGGAGAAGGAGAGAAAGGAGGATCAGAACAGGGAGAAGGTGTTAAAGAAGGATGAGAACAGTAAGAAGGTGCGAAAGGAAGGTCAGAACAGGGAGAAGGAGCTAAAGGAGGATCAGAACAGGGAGGAGGAGTGAAAGGAGGATCAGAACAGGGAGGAGGAGTGAAAGGGGGATTGGAACAGGGAGAAGGAGTGAAAGGAGGATCAGAACAGGGAGAAGGAGCTAAAGGAGGATCAGAACAGGGAGGAGGAGTGAAAGGGGGATCAGAACAGGGAGGAGGAGTGAAAGGAGGATCAGAACAGGGAGGAGGAGTGAAAGGAGGATCAGAACAGGGAGAAGGAGCTAAAGGAGGATCAGAACAGGGAGGAGGAGTGAAAGGAGGATCAGAACAGGGAGGAGGAGTGAAAGGGGGATCGGAACAGGGAGAAGGAGTGAAGAAGGATCAGAACAGGGAGAAGGAGCGAAGGAGGATCAGAACAGGGAGGAGAGAAAGGGGGATCGGAACAGGGAGAAGGAGTGAAAGGAGGATCAGAAGAGGACAAGGACTGGAAGGCGGATGGGATCAGGGAGAAGAAGAGAAAGAAGAATTCAAAAAGGGAGAAGGAGAGAAAGGAGGAAAGGAACAGAGAGGAGCTAAAAGAGGATCAGAACAGGATGAAGGAGTGAAAGGAGAATCAGAACAGAGAGAAGGAGTGAAAGGAGGTTCCCAACAGGGATAGGGAGTGGAAGCAAAATCCAAAGAGGGAGAAGGAGCCAAAGGAGGATCAGAACAGGGACAAGGAGTGAAAGGAGGATCAGACAGGGAGAAGGAGCGAAAGGAGGATCAGAACAGGGAGGAGGAGTGAAAGGAGTATCGGAACAGGGAGAAGGAGTGAAGAAGGATCGGAACAGGGAGAAGGAGAGAAAGGAGGATCAGAACAGGGAGGAGGAGTGAAAGGAGTATCGGAACAGGGAGAAGGAGTGAAGAAGGATCAGATCAGGGAGAAGGAGTGAAGAAGGATCAGAACAGGGAGAAGGAGTGAAGGAGGATCAGAACAGGGAGAAGGAATGAAGGAGGATCAGAACAGGGAGAAGGAGTGAAGGAGGATCAGAACAGGGAGAAGGAGTGAAGAAGGATCAGATCAGGGAGAAGGAGTGAAGAAGGATCAGAACAGGGAGAAGGAGTGAAGAAGGATCAGATCAGGGAGAAGGAGTGAAGAAGGATCAGAACAGGCAGAAGGAGCGAAGGAGGATCAGAACAGGGAGAAGGAGTGAAGAAGGATCAGAACAGGGAGAAGGAGTGAAGGAAGATCAGAACAGGGAGAAGGAGTGAAGGAGGATTAGAACAGGGAGAAGGAGTGAAGGAGGATCAGAACAGGGAGAAGGAGTGAAGCAGGATTAGAACAGGGAGAAGGAGTGAAGGAGGATCAGAACAGGGAGAAGGAGTGAAGGAAGATCAGAACAGGGAGAAGGAGTGAAGGAGGATCAGAACAGGCAGAAGGAGAGAAAGGAGGATCAGGACAGGGAGAAGGAGTGAAGAAGGATCAGAACAGGCAGAAGGAGAGAAAGGAGGATCAGGACAGGGAGAAGGAGTGAAGAAGGATCAGAACAGGCAGAAGGAGCGAAGAAGGATCAGAACAGGGACAAGGAGTGAAAGGAGGATCGGACAGGGAGAAGGAGTGAAGGAAGATCAGAACAGGGAGAAGGAGTGAAGGAGGATCAGAACAGGGAGAAGGAGTGAAGGAGGATCAGAACAGGGAGAAGGAGTGAAGGAGGATTAGAACAGGGAGAAGGAGTGAAGGAGGATTAGAACAGGGAGAAGGAGTGAAGGAGGATCAGAACAGGGAGAAGGAGTGAAGCAGGATCAGAACAGGGAGAAGGAGTGAAGGAGGATCAGAACAGGGAGAAGGAGTGAAGGAGGATCAGAACAGGGAGAAGGAGTGAAGGAGGATCAGAACAGGGAGAAGGAGTGAAGGAGGATCAGAACAGGGAGAAGGAGTGAAGCAGGATTAGAACAGGGAGAAGGAGTGAAGCAGGATTAGAACAGGGAGAAGGAGTGAAGGAGGATCAGAACAGGGAGAAGGAGTGAAGGAGGATCAGAACAGGGAGAAGGAGTGAAGGAGGATCAGAACAGGGAGAAGGAGTGAAGGAGGATCAGGACAGGATCTGCTCCTTCACTCCACTCTTCTGCTCTGAGCTAAATGACTGTTCCTGAGTGTTACACAGTGTTAAAGCTGCATGTTGAAGGTGTTCATTCTGTCACTATGTTAGTAACTCAGCTCTGCCCTTTACAGAACAGCTTAGATTCTGTCTTTGTGATGAACATTAAAGTAGCTACATTAGCGCTGCATGTTCTGTAGCTGAACTCTACCTGTCTGCATGTTGTAATCCTCTCATAAGCATGTTTCAGTATAATGGACTGTGATATGTTCTGGTTTATATGATGTACAAAACTGACTACATAACGCCTTAGAAATCAGTGTTTACTGATAACGTCTGTTTTCAGTAAAAATATGAACTCTGCGCTAACAAAACTATCCATCAGTACAACTATAATGAGCCGTCCAGGAGGAGTTAACATTTAAAAATGGCTCATTTTGGGTTCAGGGTAACCAAACATGAATTGATCTTAAAACATACCTCAACCAAATAAAGAAGTCTGCTGAGGCTGAATCCTGAAAACTTCAGATACTAGTCATGGTGAAGAAAAGGTTAGAGATGAAGATGAGACATCATGAAGAAGAGTGCTTACCTATCTCAGTTTTTCCTGACCCACTGATATGGAGAAAAATTTTCATGCTGTTTTTAGGCAGCGTGCACTGATCTGAATATCTGAAAATATTTTATTTGTACTGTTTTATGAAACATTTTGTGCTATTTGTATTAATTGGACTGCAGTACTTTATCTGTCCTCTGTGCACCACGACCAGCACAGAGCATATGTGTATATTTGAGCTCATTTCCATGCGTAATGCAGTCACTAGTCTGTGGGTCAGAGGGAGACACTTTGTTTTTGATAAATCTGTGACACTACATTGTTTGTGTTTAATGCATTTATGAGAATGTTAAAGAATCTCTGATTGATTTGTGTTCATGCTGTACTGCTGTAAACCTTGGTGCTAAGAAGGACCTGCTGTGAGTCAGAACTGATGCTGTAGTTCTGATTTGAATGTTTGCATGTATGTTTTATGCATGATTATGATGAAATGCTGCTTTGCCACCTCTCTTTTACACACAATCCAATTTACTCTTATTTACTTTGTGTATTCATCTTTTGTTAATTGGCTTTAGAAAATTATTTTAATCATAATATAAAAAGTCATCTATATTCAGCAATGCTCACATTTAGATTAAGACTCATAACTTAACGCAGTTAAAAATGACAGCAAATATGCTAAAATAACAAATATTAAAATAGCTGAACTCACATGTTCATCTGACACATTTTTCTCTTCTTTTGAGAAAATTTCATTTCTTTTTAAAGACTTTCTTCTCTTGTGTCACTGCTGTGAGGATACTTCTGACTTCCTTTTGTTTAATAAAACTCAGTTTAATCTGAAATGCAATGTTTCATTACTGAGAAAGATGTTGAGGGTTTTATGAGCTGATATTAATCTTCACCATAAACACTGAAAGACACTAAACAGAGCTCTGCTTTTGTAATAACCTCTGTAGCTAAAGGATGCTAATGTTACTGTATCAGAGCTTTATCAGGACATTCAGTCATGACAAAACGTAGTAAAAGGTCTATTTAAACAGAAACTGTGGTTCCGTGAACACATTCACTCCATTCTTGGCATCCTTTTCGAAGAATAATCAGATCCTGATCAAATCTAACGTCTTCAGTAGTTGTGTACACCGAGCTGCAGCAGCGCTTTTGTAGAGACTTTATTAGAATCCACTGTGTGCTGCCTTTTTAATACGTGGGGTTTATATACACGCCGCTGATTGGGTAACACCTCTGGCACACTCATCAAATGAGAGAAAACATACCACAAAGCCTGTTACACACCACCACTCATCGTTTCATACAGTTTAGACAAAACATTCAACCTGGAGACCACAACAAAACAGTGCATGATGTTTTGAGACTGAATGTACTCCAGCTTTATAAGTGGAGCTCCAACCCCAGAGCAGAGATTTAATTACACAAGCCACACAGCTGGAACCAGTCTAGCACACTTTCAACTACATCATTCTATTTTAGGCCTAATTATTTACATTTTTTAAATGTTTATACAGTATGTTTTAGTTTCTTGGTTTCTCTGTGTCATGACGTTAAAACCTACTCAGTCACTGACCATATCAAGCCAGCAGACCGATATATGCTTGGAATCAAAGACATCTGCAACATCACAACTAATAGACAACAACAGACACTTGTTAAACAGGCTACTTATGTGTGTACCTAAGCCAGTGTTTCTCAGCCCTGGTCCTGGAGATCCACTGTTCTGCACATTCTAGTGCTTCTCCTGCTTTAACATGGTCACTTCAACTCAAGAATGGGCTGATTAGTTCAGCTGGCAAACACTGAAAGTACAGGGCTGTGGGCCTCCAGGACCAGAGCTGAGAAACACTGATCTAAGCTACACTCGGTAACCAGCTTCAGTCCTGCAAGATCTATATAGTGTTTCTATATATAAATATCGTCAACCTTGCTGCTAACAGAGCAGGTTATCAGAAAGCTATTAGCCAAATAAAACATTCTCCCAACGCTTATCTGAACTGACCCTTCACTCAGGATATGGAGCTGTATATAAATTATGATCTCTCACAGACGCTAAAAATTTTTTACAAATTTTTTTGTTGATGCTAAAAATGACAGAACAATAGAAACTTACAGATACAATACCAATGTAAACTTCATCATACAGTGATCCATGTAGATGAGATGGCTATAAAAGAGCAGTACCGTTCCTGAACTGCAGGTAAATGTGTGTATTCTATGGATAACATTTTGAGTGCATCACAGCTGGACCTTACATCCCAGGGGCCCTAAGCAAAATTCTACACAGGTGTCCTCCTACCTGCCCTGTGAGTCATGTAAACCACTTGCAGTTGGCACACAGTCACACCTGATACTCCAGTGCTCTCACTACAGTCCTCCTCCTCTAAACCAGTCTGCTCCATTTGATGCTCTAAGAATAAGTCGACTTGAACAGAACAGAAACAGCTGTAAACACACAGTATTTAAAAGTGTAGGTAACACTATTAATTCTATCAGCTGCATTAGCTCATTCAAACTGGCTCCCCCAGATTTCCTTTCATACATTTTCAATATAAAATGCTCTTTATACTCTGGCTTGGCTGAACACTTGATGGTTATTATTCATTTAAAGATGTGCATCCACGTTGCTTCATATGGGATGTGCACAGAGTTGATGAGGTTTTAGTCTCAGAAGCCAGACTTCCACATGTGGTCAGAGAGTCTTTGGTGTTTTGTACTTTAACTTGACGAAGAACTGCCCACTTTTACAGGAAAGGGAAATTGGACTGTTATGTACAACAACCACCCGCAGAGTGTTGTCTGTGTGTGACGTGTAGGAGCAGGAGATTTTCAGAAAAGAGCTACAACAAAAACACACCTGCAGGAAACAAACTGATGAACATCAGCAGACATGAGCTTTACTAGCTTTAAAATCCTTAAAAACCTTGCAGCCGAAAATGTTTGAGGATGTAGACTTTCTTCAATCTAGCAGTCGTATCTATATTTGTCTCTCATTGTTGTTGTGACACACAGAACGGGCTGCTGTAAAATGACAGATTGATACAACTTGATGCACAATCAGAACACAGCTGACAAAATAATGACAGTTTTACTTCTGGAGTTCCTGTTTTGTTTTTCTTCTCAGCCCTGAACACTACAGTTCAAATAAAGCCCAGTGAATCTCTGTTTCTGGATTTGGAGATACCAGAGAAAGGTGCAGCTGGACCATCCAGTGGTCAGATCTGTACAGTGGATGGATGATCACTACAGTGTAAACCTGAATACAAACCGAGGGTTTCACTAACATCGGTTCTTCGGCTGAGAGCAGTGACTCCATCTGATCGTGAAGTTTATACTGTAA